AGGGCTTTCCAAGAATAGGATTCCCTTTGACAACCACCAGGCGCCCCAGTTCCCTGCATCTGGCAGCGAGTGAGTGAGACTAGATCTCAAGCGGCCCCCGGTTTTATCTGACGAGCAGTCGACAGGAACAGGAGACGTCGGCAGCCGGGAGACGAGGTGAGGCCTTCGGGCGGGTTCGAGGGGGCAACCGGCCCAGCGTGCGTCCAGCCACCGCGCCGCGCTCTCGCATATCGCCGCAGAGTTCGATATAGCGCTGGCTGGCTATTTAAAGCGCGCCTGTCTGGGCCCGCTGACCAAAAGGTGATATACTTAGTAGCCGCAGCGCAGCATGAAAGCTTCTGCTCGAGCTATATTGGTCGCAGACAAGCCCGGGGTGTGGATTTTGGTAATGTCGCGGGTATTTTTAGGCCGGGCTGATGAGCCGGGGTATTTACAGGAGGCCTCCCCCAATCGCTGGATGCTCCACTTCTCGGTCTAGCACCAGGCAGTCGGTTCAGTGGTGAATTCACTGACGCGTGTGCATGCAGTTTGCTTTCAACTCTTCCAAACATATACACACACATACGTCTGAGGAGTACGGTTGCAGAATTCCGGGAAGTTGGAAACTTTCCATTAGAATTAACGGGAATATACAGGAATTCATTTTGGGGTAATTTAACTGCATTTACCTTGTCATATATGAGCAGACATTTTTGACTTAATCCATTTGTGACTGGAACCTTTTTCTTTCATTGAACAACAAAAACATTGTTTTAATAAAATTAAGCTTCTCAAGCCTCCCGACCCGTTTGTATGACAAAAAAAGTGGTTTTATAATAGCGAACATCCTTTGCAAATAAACACAGCGTACCGCAACATCTTCAGAATATAGTTTTGAATTACGTTTTGCAACACTTTATCTAGCTTGATCGATTCCAGACCGTTAAAAAATTAAATACGTGATCAAATATGAACAAAAAACTATTTGACTGCAAAGACAACAACCTTTTATCTAGATTTTTATAGAAAAGTATAGTTAGCCTCTACGATCATAGCATTCTAAAAGGCAAGTTAACATTTATAAATCTGTTTTCTTTTTAGTATCAAGGGTCCCTGTCAGAGTGCCGTGGTCGTGCACAAAGCACACAGCTGGGATTTACTGTGCAAGGACTTTTTAGTCTGTCCACGTTTGTACTGGAACGACAGTAAAATAAAAAATACACTTCCACTAATAAAAGGTTACAAATAACTTTGGTACGGTCAACTCAGTCTGGAAGACTTCATGTTTGCAACCCTCGCTTCATTTTTCTATCTGTGACCCACCTGGTCCGTGATTAACGCAATAACGCATTAACTTGCCCAGTCCAACATATATATATTTTTTAAATATATTATACACATTTATACATATATATAAAATATATATTTTTAATTATATATATATATATATATATATATATATATTTTTTTTTTAATTATATATATATATATATATATATATATATATATAAAATATATTTTTTTTTATTATATATATATATGTATAGCAAGACTTGAGGAACTATGTATAACCCAGGAGCAGGAGCCAGCTAAATAATTTCCAAAAATACTAGTGCTAATGCTAGATATGACAAATAGTAAAAAGCTTTTAGCAGAAAACCTCCCCAAAAAAATTTTTTTGTGGCTTTTCGTATTGACATGGAATAAACTCTGCTTGTCAAGAGTAAAAGTGGCTTCTGGAATTAATGGTTAATAAATAACTACCTTTTTTCACAGATTCAAGCTTTTTTTCAACAGACATATTTAGAATTAAACTATTGTTTTACACTGCTTTTTTGTTTTTTATTCTCTACTCCCAGAACTTTTAAAACGAGCACCGTCAACAAAACTCAGTGACATTTCATCACAGATGTTCAGTTCAGTTTCCATTTAATGACAATATGTCAGTAAAGAAAGCAATTGTATGATAATACTTTGCAAAGTTTTGCCTCATGGCTTTTTAGAATACAAAACAAACGAGAGGAAACTAGTTTGAATGTGGTTCACATTTAGGACCTACATACTAATAACAAATACAAAACAAAAGATTGGGTTATGGCGGTTAGTTAAAACTATGTAGAGTAATTTAAGATGCTAATGAGCCCATCTGCTTTTGTTTTCTGTATATGACAAAGTGCAGGTTGAGCTTATCAAGAAGTACTTTTTAAATATTTATAAATCTATTTAGATCATTGGACGTGATGACACACTTCTGATGGAGATAAATATATCAAATTTTAGGCCAAATCAGTCTCTCTGTGCTTTGCCTGTTTCCCGTCTGTCCGTGGGGAGTTAACTGGTAAACGTGATCCAGAGGGCGATCACGATGTTCCTCTTCACCAGCCGGAGGATCGCACTTCTCACTGGCGTGAGATGATCAGTACATTAACGATCAAGTCCGGTGCCAGAGAAGATCCAGAAACAATGGTAGGTGTGCCACAACCAACCCGATAAAGGAAGGTGAGATTGCACTACACAACTCAATAAATGGCTCAACACCAACTCTTTGACATACACGTATAACAGCATTTCCTTTCTAACCCTGAAAGCACTGAACAACACACTTAAGGACCACAAAAAATGTGAAGCGGAGACTCCTGCATTCTATCTTCATTGTCTGGTGTGCGAATAAATGGCTAAACCCACTCTAGGAAAACAGTCGGTTGAGAGGCTCCTGGAAATGATGCCGGCGCTGCTATCTTATTCCCCCACATGCGCCGTTGTTTTCCTGTTGGCTTATCGACAAAACTGACGCACTGCTCTGCGCTGGTCAAAGGACTTCCAGTGACAGACGAGGTCTCCTCTTTAAACAAAGGGGGCCAGAGGTGCTTTCCATTGGTGGAAATTCGTCATACCGCACACACACACAGAATAGACTTGCCGAACGAAAAAAACGAAAAATGGAACAGAACCATGAAGGGGGAAGGAGGAACTGGTCACCGTGCGCCATCAGGGTGAGGAGCAGCGTAGGAGCTGAAGCGCTGCCACCTTTTCCCTGCAAAGACAAGAATGTGGAAACACGTGGAACCTCCAGCCCTCCCCGACCGGTGTGACGAACCACAACCGCTTCCTGAAAGGGGGGAGGGGAGTGTGTGTGGGGGGGGTCTGAGTGACGGCGTCATCGACAGGAGAGCAGGTCTGTCTGATCACGATGGCACCGCCGCATTGTTCCTCCGTGCTGGTATTTCAACTCAGGAAGCGCAGGACGACGGTCATACCGCCGGCGACCAAACAGGCCGAGAGTAAAAACAGCTTTGGACAACTTTGTCCCACTGTTGTCCTCCATCTCTGACTCAGCCCCCTCCCTCCCCACGGCGTGATCTATTGAACGCTCGACCCTCTGTCCCGTCACGAGTGGTTCTTGGAAATGTCTGTGAAAGACGTCACGAATGTGTGTGAATATAAATAAATGGCCTTGCGATAGAAGTGAGAAATTACACCACCAATAGCCGTCTCATCTGCATAGTCTGTTGCCACCATCACCGCTGAACCACATGCTGTACACAAAGTGGATTTTAAGGCAATTACCCCAAAAACGTGTGTTGGATGCTGGGCTCAATGTGCTCCGGGTTTGTTTCCGGAACAACGTAGAAGGTCGTCAAAATAAAAATGACTCACCTCCGTCTCTGCGACAAACTGATGCACAATCAGCCGCTGTGGCAAGTTCACACGGATCGGCAAATTTGACTTTATAGCTAATCCAAAGTGGAGCCACGTTCAGTACCACCGTAAGCAAAATAGTACAGTCACATGCCCGAGAAGGTGCACCAGACAGTCAACACAACAGTACGCGTTGCAAAGAAAAGTGTTGGAATTCCTTTAACGCTCGGGACGGCCCAGAAGCGTTGACTTTGCCAAACTGGCCTTGAAGCTCCACAGTCAAAGCCATACCCAGCTGGATTAGATCGTCCAAAAAACAACTCACTTTTACCAAACAAAAGCCAGAATCCAGCACTTCTGTTTCCGTCAGAGGAGAAATACAAACGCCTTTGTGAAGTTGGATTACGGCACAATAAGTCAACCTACCAGAGGCACCCGGGACACGAGAACCACAGGTCAAAGTCCCTGGGACACCACACATCAATCTTTTCCACCCATATAGGGGGAGGCTTTTTGTAGCAACTATAAACTCCCCGAGTTGCCAACATTGCATTTCCTGCAGTCCAAAGCAGCTAGAAAGATCAACGCCGATTGCTTGAGTCAACACTGTGTGACCTCGGGTAGGAATCTGCACCAGGACGAACCGTTGTTGACAATTCGATGTAGGAGTACCGATGTCAAGTGTGTGCGTTTTCTCCTCAAAAGGTCAACACGGCCCACCGAACGAGCCAAAGAAAACAAACATATTGGTTGTGACGAGCTTCACTTGTTGCAGATCATATCAGCACGCTGTAAACTACTGGCTGACATGTGAATCAATAATGCAAAATGGAACTCTGCCACATGCAATAACATGGATGCACTCGTGTTTATGGGATGATGTTGCTATAATAGCCTCATATAGAATTTTCCAATCTGTTTTTTTCATTTTTCACAGCAAGCCATCAGACAATTTCCTGCTCTGTGAATGCAGGGAAACCAAGGGGAGTCCACTTACACGCGTGAGGACAAAACTGCATGAACATAAACAAGTGTGAGAGTTCATGTTTGTTACACTCAAGGTCTGACTCGGAGACAGTTTAGAAATAATGATACAACAATATTAATATTGTATATCAGCTGTCCAATACATTAAATATTTCAATCCCGCCACCTGACAGTTAGAGCAAAGATAGTTCTAAAAAAAAAAAAAAAAACTCCTTCCTTCGTGAGCTGCGCTGCAGACATTAAATGGAGGCTCGTGGATTTACGTGGATCAGCCGCTCGAGGGAAGTTGAGGCGCCGCTTCCTTTAGTTCGGTGGCGCTCGCGCGCGGCGGAGGCGGTGTCAGGTGTCACGGCGCGCGCGCTGGCCGCTTTGAGGAGGCGCAAAGTCCACTTTACCTGCGAGATGTCATAGCAGTCTCTGGAAGCTGTCAAGTGTCCGCAAACGTCCCTCTCTGCCTCTGACGAGTCGCCGCGAAGAGTGAGCGATCCGTTGAACTCTGCGCGTTCGGCTGCACGCAGAGACCGACGCGTCTTCCGGTCAGCGCTTTCAAAACAAGGGCCGACGGCTGCGAGCTCAGTTGAGCGAGCTCGTTTAAAAGTAGATTTTACCACTTCACTGAACATGTTCCTGTTTTTTAAATTGGATTTCATCATTAATTTATATTTCATCTACACACCGCTGTATTCCGAGTTCTGTCTATTTGTATTGAGATATTTTTTAATTAATTCTCTATAAACAAAAGCAATATTTAAAAGATAAATAATTTGACTACAGTTGGTAAAATAAGAGAAGAAGAATTTATCTGAACAATTCCGAAGCTATTTAGCGTAGCCTCCTTCCAATTTTATCAAACATAACCTTTGGACTTTTATTTTGCAAACAGGCTTCTTCTTTCCTGTTCAGACTCACCTTGTTGCAACTAGAACATATTGTGAAAGGGCCCTGATATTTTTAAGTCAATTTCAGACGTGTCGCTCGCTTTTTTTATAATATAATATAAGATCCCTTGAAAATAATGCAGATAAAGCTCATTAAATCTTCATCTCAAATTGGCCCTGTCATGATCGTAGATGAAAACACGACCACGCCCCAAACCGCACACCTGTCTGTTAATTACCAAAGGAACTGAAACACACCACTGCCATATTGTTAAGCTGGTGTCCATGCTGCATTGTGGAAGCACAAACTCCGCTTATGCAGAAAGTTAACTATGAGCAAAAATTCAATTAAATATTTATTATTATTATTTTAATTATGTGCAATGATTATGTCCTTTAAAAGCCAGACACGCTGCTTATCAGTATGTTCTGTCTTACATATTTTTTAAACATTTATTTATTTATTAACATTTTATTTTCAACAACAATGTAATACTAATTAACCTGTGCCATTTTTCTATTGTAAAGCTTTTCTGTTGTCTCCTGAAAGATGCGCACAGGTCTCTCTGCTTCTTCCGGTGTCGTACCCTCATCTCCTGACGGGACAGCCGACTGCCTGTGGGCTCGGTGGTGTGGGAGAGCAGCGAGAGACAGGCCGAGCAGCATTGACGTCAGCAGCCCGTGGTTATCAGTGGAGGTTAATCTACTGGGGGATGGATAGGCTTATGCAATTGTCTGTGAGCTCACCGGCTTCACATCTATGGATTTGCTTTTCCAGTCTTTGACCCAGTGTGCTGCTGCAGCCTACATACAAGCACGATATGATGGAGAGGGAATTCTGTTGCCTGGGTAGATGTTTTTCTCTGCCAGAGAAATGTGCTTCAGGCCGGACGCGCAGGTTTGAACACAGGCCTTATTGTTCGGGTCTCACGAGCAGCTCAAACAACCGTGTGGCACAATGGAAGGGCATTAGTCTCTGATCGATACAAAGTGGAAATTGATGAGGAGGGTGATAAATGGTTGAATATTGGGATAACACTGAGTGCACGTTAAGTGTTTAGTGCTAAATGGGATTGATACAAGACTGAGGGACTCGGAAAAATCTAATTCACTGGGGGGGGTTGAGATACCCTTCGTGTGTCTTGTGTTGCTTTTAAGGATGATGGGAAAATAAATCAGTGCTGCACCGACAAGCACGTATTTGAAGAAATAAACTGGGGGGAATTAGCTCACTTTGGCTTCTGCAAATGTCTTAGAAAAAAAGGTCAATTAAGCGGTGTTTTACTGTTTGTTATTGCTCGGACTGCAACTACGTATAACGATGACCTTAAACATTGTAATTATGGCTATTAGACACGGCCCGTTGAGTGTAATGGAAAAATAATCTGGATGTATTAACTTTAACCCCAAAGCTGCTGCTTTGAGGTCAAATTTGGTGGCTTTTTTAGGATTGCCAAAGATAATTAAAGATAATTATTATTCTCTTGTTTAATACTAACCCATAGCCTTATTCTACTAACCCATTGCATTAGCATTTCATTTGACCTTATTTTATTACTTGTGCACTGCTGTCTTGTTGTCTATTGTCACACTGTTTACTGTCACGCATCAACCGCCAAGACAAATTCCTTGTGTGTTTGACATATTTTGGCAATAAATGTTTCCTGATTCCTGAAATAACCTTGAGGTACAATACAATACATTCATTTGGAAAGATCACACTGCATCGCAACAGTAAAACAACTCGTTTTCACACCACATATAAATGTATAAATAGAACAGTGCGGTTCGCTGATTGACTTTTGAATCTATAGTGGATGTAAACTGCGACAGGGTTCCTGGACTAAAAGGTTCACTTTTTATCACCAGGCAGACTGATGTCCTGTTGAGTCTAGAGGGGGGGCATACGAGCACAAAGCCTGGTTTTCCACCCAGGGGAAGGGAGACCAGGATGTCCTACCCACCCCGAGGTGGTGGCTTCTATAGGCGTGTGGCCTTTGACCCCCTTTTGCCTTGAGACTTGCAAATCTGCTCGTCCAAAGATGGAAAAAAATGGGGAAGAGGAAACAAAGAGGACTTATACTGAGGGTGACGCAGCTGGACAGCTGGGGCCTGGTCGGAGAGAAAGCACTTTTATTACCATGGGGACATTAAACGCTGTGAGAGAAGAACTTTATCTAACAAAAGGGGGAGGAAACGTAGCAACTGGCCAACGTTTTTTTATAAAACTCTCTTGTAAGTTCAATGCAAGATTTTGAGAAAGCGGCGTTTACTTCGGCAGATGTTGTCGCGGACTCTGCGTTTGGCTCCGGTTGGCGCCTCTGACAAAGTTTTCATCCCAAGAGTGCCTGAGTTTGTTGCATAATTCATAACTCCACTTCGACCTTTGAGCAAACCGAATTCTCCAACAAGTGTTGAAACGAATGCATCGTGTCTGGCTGCCTCTGAGCGGTTCAGTCTGCGGCTTCTCTCAACACGCAAATCAATGGTAGAGTTCTGCGTCCCCTTGGTTCTGGGAATCCTGCTTCCTCCCAGAGACACATAAGTGGGTGTCAACCAAACAGGGATCTTCCATTTCATTTTTAGGGTTATACAAATGTATCTGGTTTTGATTTGAATTCCTTTAATCAGTAAGTGTACGTAAGTACTCACGCTTGATAACACGTAAGACATTTTCCCCCCAAGTCTCTCTCAATGAGCGATACTATTTCCTTTGCAAAACTTGAATCAGTGTTAATCAACACAACACATGCTGAGTCCTTCTGTCATCGACCAGGAATGAATTCATCTCTTTCGTTCTCGGGCTTAATGGAAACGCTCCAGACGGAGTCGGGACGTACTAAACGATGTAGGAGTGTAGTTGTGTTTCCTCTTGAATTCCAGGCTTTCAATTAGCAAGGAGGGCTCCACCGATACTGTTTGTCATGGACTCTTTTTTAATCAAAGTGTAAGTGTGAGCAGAAACTTCTGATTTAGATTTAAAGGTACTATTCTGTTGAGTCGGTGTTTGTCTGTTCTGGACTGCTGCAGAAACACGATTGTTAGATTTAAGTACACAAAGGAAAACAGCTGTGAATATTATGTTCAACCCACCAACTAATAGTTAATTGTTGTTTTACTGATCTTAGCCTGGCAGTCTTGAGTAAAACCATTTTTTTAAACCACAATTTCTAAAATCAAGAAATAAAATGCTATGTTCAACTTGACCAGTGTCGCTTATTTTGTGTCACTACCACATATTTGGTGTGCGTTAACTACTGAAAACCACAACAAATGTGTACTAATCCACATCTGACCCCCCACCTTATATATGTATATATATGTATGTATATATCTGTATCTGTGACCTGTTTTTAAAGACTTACATCTTCTGCAGGAAGGATTGAGCTGATTGGGGAAGTTTGAAAGCATTGAGAGACAAACACACTGTTGGTTTTTCGCAGGATTTGTCGACAATTCTTAATATAGAACACCGCCCATGGCCCCCATTCGAATGTCGTAATGTAAATCAACTCCAGACCGTGACAGAATCAAGACGCCTGACAAAGAACTGGCTCCATTGGTTGACATTTTATTTCATGGTGGTAGGAACACAAGACAAAGGTCATAAAGTTAGTAATGTTCAGGTCATGCCACTCTTACTCGGTGCACTGCCCTTAGAGGAGGTACGCGCAGTCAGACACTAGTTTACAGAGGCCAGACATGGAGGGTAATCCACATGTACACATAAATAAGAGAAAATAGATTCAAAAACAGTAAATAGATTTTTTGTAAAAAAGCCAGAGGGAATATTCTCATGGACCCCCTGGGATTTTCTTTTGTGTATGAGCATTATTACTAATATAATTATCATTATTATTATTATGTATTACTCCTTTACATTATGGGGATGAGGCTAATACACTGGCTAAAATAAGGAAACGGTTATATGGGTGACGTCAGAGTCCAGGTGGCCGTTTTTTAAGGCAAATAGTTTCCACCCAAACCATAAACTGCAGTTGCTTTTATTGTTGTTGAGTCGCACGGGGATTTTTTGTTAACTGTCACTACCCTTGGATTAAAGAGCGTTGTGGGAAAATAGGACCAGTCTAAGGCTGTGCTGGAATTGAAACGTGTCTTTTTGGGGACACCAGGAAAGGCATTCCTGGTCCAGCGTGGACACACTTCAGGCCCCTCCCATCCCCCCCCCATGTACACCAGTATAAGTCAGACATGGTTCCAGTGTATATTACTAAAAACATAAACCTCCATGGATAACACATTTGCTAAATTTACACTTAATCATTGCAGGGCTGTACAAAAACAGAACAGTTTGATGATTTAAGAAGGAAAAGGTAATGAAGAACTCGAGAAAGGAGAAAAAAAACATACTACAGCACAAGACCATATTATACTCAACTACGAACAGGCGTGATTTCGTCTTAGAATATTGCCAAAGTTCTCATATCAAAACACGTGTCCTTAAATCGGTCATCCCAGCTTGTTGCAGCCGAGCGGAGCCGACGCTGCGTTGCATCAGTTCAATGAAGGTTACAGAATTTGCACTAGTAATACAAACCCATGCGTTACTATGTTAATTTGCAAGTGCTGTAGGATTATGCATCTTCTGCCATTTTTGCGGCTGTTATGGCTTCAAAAGGTCACAACAACATCACGGTCTCTCTCTCTCTCTTTCTCTCTCTCGACAGCCCAAAAAACTCCTCCAGGAATGCTCCTGGGTCCAATACGGAGAGAAATTGGCCCGTTTCGTTTGTGTTGACGACTGATTGTTGTTTGACAGGACATCCCCGAGGGTAGTTTCTCTCCTCGCCTCCTTTCTGTCTGTCCTTCCTGCAGTCTTTGCTTTCAGCACCTCCTTAAGGTCAGATATGGTAATAACTCTTCCCCTTATGCACCAGTCTGTGAAGGTCCTGCAAAACTAACTGCTCCCGAGAAAAAAAAAAAAGAAACAAGGCCAGAAACCAAACATGAAACGTTAATTCCGAGCTCTGTAGTTTCTGAAGTCACATGAGAGGAATTAAGAGGGAAAAATATCTTTTTATAATCATTGATCAGATAATAAACAAACAAACCCCAAAACAGTGACACATTTCTAAAAAAAGGTTTTTGGAACAAATTGTAAATCAAACAAACCAGATTGAAACCAACACTGCAGAAGTGCATGCATCTATAGTGGTCATGGTTAGTTACATCTGCGTGTTGTAAAACAGAACGCACAACAGTACATGAGAAGATCCCATCTTACATATTCACAGTCTCAGGTATTACTTATATACTCTATATTTATAACATTTATTCATGTCTCGACTCATGACTTATGATATGCGAGTCGTGGTGGGACGCGGCGCCCTCTCCATCACGTCGGCTCGCACTGTAAGTGAGTCACATCTCAAAACTAAAGGCTCTGATGGGATTCAGATTGAGCAGAGAGTTGTTTCTTTTCTCTTCCTGTATTTTTTTTTTGTAGGCGCTGTGAGATGGGGGGGGGGTGATGGAGTGGTTTTGACTCTCTACTTTCTCACTGCAGCAGCTTGACTGATATCTGAAAAGTCCCATTAGGAAAATGCAGTGGGCTAGCGGGGCTGATTATAGAGTTTCTTGAATGGAGACGCCAGCTGGCTGCAGCATCAAAGAGCTGCAGCCAGCGGCCTCAGCGGCTCCCTCGGGGAATGTATGTGTCTATGTACTCGTGGATGTACAGGCCGTGCTTGGGGAATGTGGGCGATATATATATATTTATATATATATATATGGCACCAAGACAAGGCGGTAACCCGAGATCGTCGGCGTGGTCCGCCAGCGTTCAAGTAATGAGCGAGGAAAAGGAGCAAGCGTTTCTTTTCTTTTTTTTAAAAGTTGGTGTTTGTTTTAAAACAACAAAGCTGACAAGAATGAAATCTCTCTTTTTCACAGAGATGCCTGCATTTGAGAGATAAACGGGCGGGCGGTTAAAGGGGGGGGGGGTGTGTTCTCTTTATGGAGGCGCAGATTTAAAAAAAAGGAGAAAAAAAAACAAAATATATCAAACAAAAATGAAAACAAACATTTTTCCATATAAAAAATGATGGAAAAGTATACAAAAATAGAAAATAATTACAGCAGGAGACGTGGGCGCTATGGAGGGAGCGGATGGGAGGGTTTGTTTTTTCTCTCTCAATATTCTGTCTCTTATTTGGCGGCGGAGCAGTGTAATATTTGGGGGCTGTTCAAGGCGTCTTCCACCAGGTGGAGCTCCACGCCGTCCACCACCACATCCTTGATGCAGCCGACAAAGCTGGTGCTGTAGGCCTTGGGCAACCGCCGGGCCACCGCCAGCTCCTCCAGACCACCTGAGGGGAGACAGACACGGAGGTCAATGCAATGACACGAAACGGTTTGGTGCATTTTAAAGGGCTACTGCAGATACCAATGTACCTTTAGTCAAGTTCCTACACTTCCCATAACACACCGACACCAGTGCAGTTTTGTGTTGTTGGACGTGATTAGTCAACTCGCCCTCCGCTTAAAGATCACACAGCAGGATAAATATTTGGATTTCCTAACAAGTTTGACCTTGTGAATACCATCAGGACGCTGTACTGGACACGTTTTGGCAGAACAATCCATTTATGGAACTTAAGCGGTTACCCGACTTTTCTTTTCTTTGCACGGTGACTGATGCCAGCTGTACACGATGGGTTGACACCTTATTTGACAACCCATCGATCAAAAGGGAGAAAAGGCAGAGCGCCGGCTCAGCAGCCACGCTGAGACCGACGGGAGACGAGGCTCTTTTTAATTTGACGCGGCGCATAAAGCGCTCCGAAATGTGCAGTGAGATTAAAGTGGATGAGGGAGTGTAACATTATGACTGCCCGGCGCCCTCATTATTTTTAATTTGTTCCCACCTTTAGTTCTGAGCGCTGATTGCTGCGCCGTGAACCGGCCCGATTTCAACCGTCCATCACGTTGTGCATCAAGAAAAGCTTAAAGTTTGAGTTCCCACACGTGCTGCCCTTTTCTTTGGCTCTCCATGTTGGAAACTACTGCAAACTCCCCACTTCTTCCACTGTTTGTTCCAAACAAATCAAGGACATGAAATCTGCGTGGGACTGGCTGCAATTAAAAAAATGTTAAAAAAGGCCAAATCATCCGACTTCAACCTACTTGCCATCGAAGCAATAGTCCTAATTAAAACGCTGTTGACAGCATATCAAAGAGCACTTTTTCTGAAAATAAGACATTTTCCATATTTGTTAAAGTCAAATGTTTCAGTGCTGTGTGAGCACCGTAAACCAGATGCCGTACAACTCCGTTTTAGTCGGTACCAAAAGAGATTTGTGGTCAGAGAGAAGAAAAGACCCTTTAAAGCGCCTGCGAACTGGATGTAAATGAACTCATGTAAGAGTTTATCTATCAGTCGTAAAAAGTTTAAAAATGGAAATTTCTTATTATGAAAATGTCATGGATTTGCACTTCAAAGCAAAAGTCTCCACCCCCTGTACTTTCCATTTTGCTTTAACTTCAAATCATCCAAAGCTCATTTTTCCGGCCCTTTTGCGGATGCCTGATGACCTAATTGGCGGGTGTGTGGCCGCCTCCCTTCTGATGGTGTTCGGAGCTGCTTGTTTGAGCCGGCGCACACATTGGTGTCTTTCTCCATCAATCGGCACGAAAAATGTCTTCATTCAGGACCTCAGGAGATCTGTCCCTACTGGGAGAGTGTTGGATATGTTACCTGGCTGCCGTCGCTGCTCCGTTATCTGCACACAGAATCCTCCTCCACCCTCTTTTTCCTCTCTCTCTCTTTTCCAACTCCATTCCCCCCACACTCACCCAGTCTCTCCCCCTCTTCCCTGTTTTCTCCTATTTTCATCTGTGAACATCCCTGTTGAGCCTTTTACATCCCCTGTCCCGGCCCCCTTTAATCGGATTGCGTGCCTCAGAATGGCGGATCGACGGGGCTAATTTCATGCCAGTTACAGATGAATTAATGATGAACAGTGAAGAGGGGGTTTAAAGAGGAGCGGGGCTCTCGACGGGGGGGCTTGTGTGAGGATTATGTAGCTGCGTGGCTCGCTCAGCACCTGTTCTACTGCGCTGCCTCCCTGTGTGTGTGTGTGTGTGTGTGTGCGTTGGGTGGGTTTGTGGCGCACTTCTACACTCAGCGTGTCTTAAATGTCACTTTAGGGCGGCTTCTCCTCTCAAACCGGCCTCTTTGCCGTCCTCCGCTGTGCATTTTACAGAAAAAGCCGCACTTCATTTTGTCGCTTGTCTTCATGTTATTTTCCACAGAACGCTCAATCCCACCGAGCCACGTGTGTTCTTTCACGATACATTTCTCTGAGCAGAGTTTGGGGACTTTTCAATTCAGGGGAGCAAACAACTCGTCGTCAGATTGCATTTCATATCTCAGCTCAATACCTCGATTGGGTTGGACGTCTTTTTTTTTCCTCTCCCAGAGACTCATCACTCTGCAGTGCCAATGAGTTCACGTGCTCGTCTTTCGGCAGCCTTCTACCAGTGGCCGGGATGCAGGAGTAGCACATGTTCTTTTTCGTTTTGTGTGTGTGGGCACCTACCCAACCACAGCGCTCCGTCCGTGTCCAGCTGCGTTGCTGCCAAAGGCGACGACCCCGTCACCGCCGCCTCGTTGCCGACCTGCAGGGAGCCGTCTCTGAGCGCCCTGAGGAGGAGACAGAAAAAGAAAGTGGCCGTTTAGAAGTCGGTCCGACGCACGCATGTCCGGCTGAATAGCTTTCAAATGAGCAGTTTTGCTCATTCTGCAGGATGGAGACGCCACTGCCGCTGGAGCGCCATTCGTTTCAAGTGGCCCGGCGCTAAGTAATTCGCATATTCGTCCGAATAGACGAATAGCACAAGCGTCGTTAGAAAAGGGGCAAGCTGCAAACACAGACTGCGTGAGCTGCGTGCCGGCGTGCTGCCGTTTGGCGCAGCGTCATCAACACCCAGGCCGGGTGCGCTGCCGCGGTCTCGCGTGGGCTCGGCGTCGACCTGCCACTGTGGCGCTTGAAAGTGTCGAGGATCGATTATTCTTGCCGTGAGCGAAGAGGCCGATCTAATTATCCCCCAGTACTCCCGGTCACAGCCACGCCGCTGGCGAATGTTCCGCGGCGATAAATCACGGATCGTGTGGAAGGTGTTAAGTGGGTCGTTCTCAAAGCTCAAGCAGTTAATCCGTTTCTAATGAAGGAATCCATTAATGTGACATCACAGGTATTGCATCTGGAATGATTATCCGAATGAAAACATGTGTCAGTGTATCCAATTTAAGGGTTATTTATTCATGTATACACTGTAGACACATGCTCTGGGTGTAGAAAATGTCATCAGAATGGAATTAGATTAATTATAGTTTTAATGGGAATCTACACTGCAAAAGCCGAGTGTCATCTGACGCGATAGAGGAAACGTTCCCATTTCAGCGGATTCTGTGCTAATTGTCATATGGAATACTGTGCTAGGCAAATATGAATCAACTAGGACCAATGAATGTGTACTGGATATATTTATTACACTGTGCCAAAACATGTTGGGACGTTGCCGCGTGTCCATTTTTGAACGTTGGGGGAATGCGACACTCGTACTTGTGCATGACCTGGCATGAAAATAACCTTAATCTGAAACTAATCAGAGTCCTCTCGATGTGAGAGATCACACAGTTTGCAGCAAATCCAAATCCAATATGGATTAAGCCTAATCCTGGTCTAGCGCTTCCATCTTTCCCCTCACTGATCCCCAGCTCCCCGCCCTCGCCCGCCTCACCTGCTGGCCTTGATGCGTATCCAGCGGTTGGTGTCGACCCGCACCGAGGACCGCAGCACCACCGGCTTGGAGCCGAGGTCGTAGGTCATCTGCACGTGTCCGTCCACGATGGCCAGGGCGATGTAGTCGGAGCGCTCCACGCCCTTCCCGCTCCACAGCACCAGGCCCTGGGTCGTCTCCGTCCGGATGCTCAGCTCGAACTTGTTCACCAGCAGAGCCTTCTCACTAGGGGAAGAGGAAACGCATCAGTCAGCTCTTGGCCTCTCGTTGGGTCGCCGCTGGTCGCGCGTGAAGCTCGGAAGCCCCATGCGGTCTGGAGGGTGCGTAAGCCGTGTTTCGGCCGGACACACGGCGCATGTGGCCAGGATGCTCTGCAGCGCGGCCTCTGCAGCCGCTTCGCTCCAGTTAGCTTCCCGACATCGCCCTCGGCCTGCGCTGCACTGCTACCGCTTCCTGTGTTGCTCTGCATGTGTGAATTTGCGTGTGTTGTTTCGGCAGCTGTTTGGTGTCCAGCTGGGGGTCGATGTAGACGTCCACCGTCCCGCGAATAGCCCTGTGCGTCAGCGCGAACGTGCCTCTGCTGTGTGAGGACACGCAAGGTCCCTGTGGTCTGTGTGAGGCCGCCAGCAGGGAACCGTCCACTCCGTTCGCATGTCTCTGTGTGTGTGTGTGTGTGTGTGTGCAATGTCATCAATTGTCTGCGCATCTGGCAGATGGATCTACATCCACCTTCTTTAAAGGGTATTTAAACACAAAGACAAGGACAAGGTGAAGACACGTACGACAAAGAACCAACGACACGAGGGCTTTAAAAAAAACTGAACAGCAGCACAGAGCTGGAGACAAAGATTAGACAAGACAAACAACAAGACAAAGGAGTCAGCAAAGCAAACAAAGAGGCTCATGGGAGTACAGGACAGGAAATGGGAGGGGGTGAAGAGAAACTGAGTAAGGCCACTTCTTCTTACGCTGTAAGAAGCTTTCAATCAATGTTTTCTTTTCAGTAATGAGCAGGAATAAAACGGAGGTTGGGTTTACACACGATGGGATCATATTTATCTTCGGACTGTATAAACTGCCAACAATAGGGCTGGTTCAAATCAGCGGAAGGGGGTAAAAAAAAGAAAAAAGAGTCAAATTTCAAAAGCATGCATATTTTGGAGACGTTGACCCCCACCCTTTTGATGACTAAATCCGCTGAGGTAAACAGGAAGAAGAAAAATATATGATTTAAGAGAAACCTTTTTCACTCCATGGAGAAAAAAAAAGCCTCTCCTGGCAAACCCTCCACGAGCACACAGGTCCTAAAAGATCTCCTCTGGAGCGACTTGTGCCATTAAAAGCCCTGAATAAAGCATTCTAACCCTCACACAGCACTGACTGCATAGATCCCCGGCTCATCGTTGCTGACTTTTCTCTCGTTGTTGTAAGTACAGCAGTTTAATCAACTTTTTACGTGTATTTAAATTCTCTGAGGGCTTAGTAGTGCTCCTCCGATTGGACTCCAGGGGGCAGTAGCGGTTAGACTGAAGGGAAGCCATTGGGGAGCTGCTGCAAGGAGGCTGCAGCTCTGGCTGGTTTTGTGCCATTCTCACAGCTCCGAACTTCAGAATGAATTGAAGCAAAAGTTCGTTGTGACTTTCGTCTCAATACCGCAATAACAGCCCCCCCCCCCCCCCACGGACGGAGGTCTAGCCCTGTGAGAGGTCGGGGAGGGTTTGTCTGGAGAGGAGGAGAGGATGAGGAGGCGAGCGGACGGGACCAAAGTCGAAAAGCTTTTGTGAGACTCACCTCTGGTCAGATGGGTTCTCCAGAGACTCGGGACTTAAAGGGAGCAGGGGGGGAGAAAGTCAACGGCATGCAGAGTAAGCGCAAGAGGCCAGGAGTTAGGAAGGAAACGAGGCGAAGGAAGGAAGGATGTTGTGAGCCCACGGGGAGACTCACAGGAGGTCTGGTTTGGACCTGGAGCTGCAAAAAGCATAACTTATCCGCTCTACCACAATATCGACCACGTCGACTGTCGATAACAGCGGTTGTGTGATCCGAGGAAGTGTGCGGCTTGGCCCCGCTAGTCGGATTGAGACGGAAGACTAACGCAACCAAAAGGCCCCCGGATGAAGCATTTTTCTGTTCTCAAGAGCAAGTAAACTGGTGGTCTGTGTCCACTGAGCTGAAGGACTGCTGTAAGTCAGCATCCTCCTCTATATTTATGGCGCAGCGGCTACGACCATCCTGGAGATGGATCCCGTGGATGAGAAAAATTGGGCAATTGTCAAAAAATAGGGTCAAGCGGCGCATCTGCAGCAGATCTGATTTGTGACTTAAATAACGGGGGAGGAGCCAATCGACCCGAGCTTTCAGACAGGGGCAGGAGGGCGAGCGAGGGTGCGATCAAAGGGCGCTGGAAATAGTAGCGGCAGCATTGACCCCCGGGGTGAGCTCATTGGCATTTTGGATTCACCCGCCTCCTAATGACGCTCTCAAGGAGGATTTTGACAAAAATCAAATCGCGCTGAATCGATCGGCGCGCCTTCAGAGTGCCGCTTTGCTTGCCGCTACTAGGCTCTTAGTAGACGTGACATCCATTAAACTTCTGACAGTCTGGCTCCGAGGACCACTGTCCCCCCTCCTGCTAAGTGAGACGGATGCTCCTGGCTACACACTGCGGAGAGATCTCAATCGGGAGGTCTATCTACAAAGGAAGACAAATCTGTGATTAACATGTCACTGCCTCTCTGTAGCACTTAATTATTCACAATTTACGATCGGAGATCTGGCAAAAAAGGAAATGACAGAAGCCCTGCCATGGACTGGACCTCTGGGGCAAACCCAGTCGGCTTAATCTGAGCTGAATTTGGCTTTGTCACTTTCTGGGGTCTTTGCATATCTTTCAAAAAGGAGGTTACTTACCGAGCTAATGACTTGGAAGAAAAACCTCTAATGACTACATCATGACCGAGGGCTTTCCCAAGCGGGAACTAGGTTAAGGGTTATTTAGTGCGTCCTCCTCTTGCAGTTTCAGAGACAAGGGGTCTCGTTCACTCCCCACATAACAGATTCAGCGTATAGTGCAGAGCAATTCATTTTGCTTATGAACAGGTTACAACCATGCATCAAATAATGCACATTCTTCGTACAGCAATTCATGTTCTCTGAGGGCTTGAGCACAATGCTTATCATGCACACACACACACATGCTTCCCTTTGCTCCGCAAAACGTTTTGGAAATGGAATCTGTCAAATTAAATCATAGGTATGGAGCAGGAATATAAAATCTGACTTATAACGGAGAGATGATTTTCTGTGTGGAAATTAGGACTGAAAACTGAATGTACTTTAATCTCTTCTTTTGGGTTAACTATCAAAAATGGCTTTTTTTTATTGAGGTTGCTGTTAGTTGGGCTGGATTTGAAGCTGGGAAAATACCCAGTCATAAGGTCTACTTACTCCGGGATCTCATTGGTCAGTTGGCTTGAGTGAAAAGGAAAGACAGTGAAGGACATTCATATGAGACAACACGCGTGAACAAGGACATGGGAGGTCAGACTGAAGGACGGGACAGAAGGAACGCCGAGACCACGGACAAACAGACACGGTACACACTGCAGGACACACGCGGTGGGACAGGGTTCTCAGCTGTCCCTGAGTGGGCTTGAGTTGTGCGTCCCCGTCGGGAGTGTGACGCTTTTCACACCCGAGTGTGTGAAGAGCTGCGAGACGGAGATATATACACATATATATATACAAAAATATATGCAAAAAGGGGAATCGTGCCGGTATGCCGATTGTCCACGAGCGCACAGCGGATCGCACAGCAAGCTGAGCGAGCTCAGGCCAACGCTGCAGTTATTAACCGCCTCGTTAATTAGCCAAATCCTGTCAAAAGTGGAAGCAGGGCTGTCACGGACATCGGGCCCAGGGAGGGGGGGCTATTAGCCAAGGGCCTCTTTCACCCTGAAGCCTCGGCACTGATGACACCGTCGACACTGCTCCTCGCGGCTCACCTGGGGTTATTTGGCTAATAGCTACTGCGATGGAGGTGCTGAAAAGACGAGGACGTTCCCCGTGTCCTCTTCCTTACCTCTTCGTAACGGCGTTGTGGTACTCGATGAACGTCCGCCCGTCAAAGGCAATGGCCTCGGCCTCTCCGGCGGCCTTCTCGTAGACGGCTGTGAAGGGTGCGGGGGTCGGAGAAGAAGATTTGTTCAGACGGTGAGATCACACCAATCAATAAGACAGTTCGGTTATCAGAGCTGAAAGCATCGCAGTGTGAGCAAATGGGACGGGCGTTTTGTAGTTTTAATTAACGTGAAAGGGACAGCCGGCCACAGCGACAAGGTCAATGGCAAAGGCAGCGACCGGGTATTTTACAAAGATCAGGCCAGAGTGAGTATACGTCTGGCAGGCTGACGGAACGGTGATGAAAGAGATGTGCAAGTCTGGAAATAGAGCGTTTCATGAATATTCAATTAAAGAGTTTCATCATTTTCATAACTGCCGCTTAAGATGGAAATCAGTACATGAGAACATGATCTGAAAGAGACATCAAAGGTCTCTTGTCAAGACCATCACCGCGGCAGGGAAGAGACTCAATGGAATACAAACAAACAAAACCGCAGCAAGCCGCCTTTCCTCTAGGAAACAGTTGCTAACTATTCCTGATAGGTTCACGTGATAAGGTGACCTGAAGCCAGCGAGTGTTGCAGGTGAAGATACTAGAAAGGTCTATGGCCCCTGTGATGTGACGCGAGGACCCGATGCACTCACGGTTCTGACAGCGCTCGCCCCTGAACCCGTTGAGGCAGAGGCACTCGTAGGTGTGCAGCGTGGGTTTGCACAGGCCGCCGTTGTGGCAGGGCTCCTGGGAGCACGGGTGGTCCTGGAACATGGCCACGCTGCTGGAGCGCAGGGCGTTCTCCTCCCTGAGGATGGGGGTCCCCATGAGGATGATCTGGAAGCAGGTAACACGGGGTTAAAGGGGCGATACCGCGGGTTAAAGGTCAGCTGGCTTTCTTTAAAGTATTCGGTTGTCGGGGAGGAGTTTCCGGCGTGGAGAATAAACGTACACGAGGCCTGTGTTACAAAGACGAGGTATTGAGGAGTTTGAGGTATTTATCAGGCAGCAATAATCTGACAAAGATCCAATTGTTGGCTCCGACATTTGGTGCTTTCACTGCTGAATTTTAGTTCAGCTACGGTTACTGTTCACACTGACCTTTTAGGAAAAAATCCAGAGGAGGAAAAATAATGTGTGAAAAGTCTTTCACTCGTTGATTGGGCAGTTTTGTTGATTGCAATCTCAGATGCAGACGATGCGTAACCCTCTCGGGGTGTTTCAGATACCAAGGCTTTCTTTCCCTTTCTGTGAGCTCCTTGTTGAAAGTCCGCTTAGCAACTTTCCATGAGTTCCATTTGACGCAGACCGAATTCAACAGAATTGTTTCAAAAGTAGCTCGTACATAATCTTGGACCCATAAAATGCTAAATTGTCGTAGGACGATAGCTGCAGGGTTTAAATAATGCGTTCCGTCTCTTTGGTTCTCCACACGGACTGTTAACCTGCATCCGACTAAGTCCCGAACATGATTGATCAATACTAATACTGCAGGGCTAGAAGGACCAGACTGCAAACAATATACGTGTTATGATGAATAATGGATAACAGGATTGTGCAAAAAACATTTAATAGGGCCTTTAATAGATGACGTACCACATATATGAAGTCAGTACCTACTATATACTCGTAGACATTACGGTGCAATCGGTATAATCCCATTCATTACAGACCTGTGTTAGTGCAATACTCTTGATCCATCCATTGTTTTAAACCTTTCTTCAGAGGGTTGCCTTTATGTTGTCTTACTTTTAAATCTCCTCCATCTATTTCATTGCCTTTGATGTCAAATTTATCAGATCCATTTTTTCTCTCCTCTAAAAAACACTTGATTATCATTTGTTACCACTTCTTGCTGTTGTCCAACGGAAAGCATCATCAAGATATGGGGCATTGCTTTTTTAAAACAATTATTCAACCTAATTATCACCAAGCATTTTTAGATTGCGATTTTGTTGATCGTGTTTGACATATGAGCTGTTTGCACGCAGGTAAAGTGTCAGTGAAATTAGGAGTTGACACATCACACACGCTAAACCGAGAATACACGCTTTCTTCCCTCATAATGAACTATTCCCCACAGGAATAGGAAGACAAATGCCACATTTAGCTTTTGATTTGCCTGAAACTGTCAGGGGAAAGTTTGCGGAAGAGAAACTCATGACAAGTTTGCACAAACAGTAGCATCCTGCCTTTGTTCTGCTGGGGTATTTTTGGCACTCCGAGATGAGCTTTTTGGAAAGTGGAGGAAAATAAATAAAACTGGAAGGCTGTCAGGGAAAGATCTGAGAATTGTTAAAGTTGAGGGGACTTCAAGATGTGCTTTCTATTATTAGTGCATGCTAATCCAAATGAGCAGATCCACTGCCCGTCACAGTGCCGGCGTCTGATGGAAAATGACTAAGGGGGGGGCTCTAGTACTGTACTTAATGAGAGCTAGACAGCTAATAACCGCCTCCGAGTGCACGGGGGCCGAGACTCCTTCAAATAACACACAGTATAATGCATCTGAAGGATCCTTGCATGCAGCCGATGACACAACACGCCGCGAGGAGCTGGAGGCTCGCCCACACTCACCTCTTGGATCGTTCCCTTGAAGCCCTCCGTGAGAGCCGCCACTCGTGCTAGTCGGCTGTAATCGGGGGCTCCGCCAACAAAAAGAGACTCTTTCAGGTTAAGATCTACGTGCAGGTTCTGATGAGACAGGACACAAAGAGGCATGGTGAGGCAGTGCTATGCAAACTCGAGGGCGGGGGCGGGTCGATCCGTATACCCCATTGTCAATTCTACTCAGGTTGTTGTTGTTTTTATTCAGGACGTGCTGGTCTAGTGAGTGGAGTGATGTGTTTGTGTCCGGGGAGCGTAACATAAGTTGTATCCCTTTAGTGGAGACATAAAGTGTGAGTTTCATAAAACACATCTGCAGACATGCCACAGTCATATAGATTGTCCCATTAAGAGAAAAGAAACAGAACAGTTATCCATATTGTAGTGGGCAGGCACTTTAACTGCACTTCATAGACCTTTTTTTCCACGTCAATACACTTGATACATTGCAGCATAATTGATTTCTATGTCTCCCAGAGACTGGTCAATTATCCCCAGAGACATAAAAAGAAACTACAAAGGGAAATCAGGAGCAGGCCGTGCTTGAGATACGGACGCTTCTTAACAGACATCTCTAATGAATGGCTGCTCATAAGCACCGACCTTTCAAACGCTTAAGTGTGGAGACACATTAATTGCAATTCATTTGCGCTGCAGACGGCTATGAAATTCGATTCCTTCCACCGAACCTTGGGGACAATTGCTCTGCATTAGCATGGTGCCGCTTCTCCCATTTTGCGAGGAAGAGGCGGCCCACTTCAGGCAGAAGGAATTAATGATCTATATTTTATGTAGAGCAGTAATTGCCAGAGGGCTAAAGTGGAGTTAATTGCTGGGAAAATGATGGAAGGGGCAAAATAAACAGGCTTTGTGAAGGCCGGCTCGGCTTTTATTTAGGACGGGTTTTGGAGCGCAGGAGGCAGCGGTGCTCGAACCGAAGCCCCCGGGCTGTGACATGGCCAACGCCGTGGGACCCGGGCGGACGTGGCTGCCGCCTTTTTTTCACATTAGCCAGAAAATAGTCATTGATTGTAGGGCGGAGTTGACCCAGCGCAGATACGTGCAGACGGAACACGCTCCCCTGGACTCTGACACACCGTATAGATTTAAGCACCGGCTCCCGATGTAACGCTACTGTTTTCTAGGACTTTAAAGTGAGATTGCATGCAATGAAATGTTCTGTTTTAGTCTCACACAGGTAATAGACTGCACCCGGTGAACGAGCACAGTATGTTCCATGAGTCTGAGACACGGGTGAAGTTCAGTGAGTGGTGCGTGCGTTGTTATGGGCGAGTGAGTGAGTGAGTGAGTGAGCGGCTTCATGATATTATGGAGCGATTGCTCCTGTTTGCAGACGAGGTGAGAGCACATGACAAAAGAACAGCTTGGCTCGGCTTGGCACCTCGCCGTCTCCTACGGTGTATTTTTCTCTCCCTTTGCGCGCCTTCGCCATCTTGTACTCTCTCACTTTTCCGGACGGCCCGCGGCAGCGGCGTGAATTCTCCGCCTACATCCAACTGATGAAGACGTTTTGTGTTGCAAAAAAAAAAAAAAACAATGGCCGTCACGAAGATGGCAGTCTTCCTCCCTCCCACTTTCTCACCCCCACAGCAGATGGGCCGAGGTGAAAGCCAAGCCGCGTTCTTGTAAGAGCATCTCTTCTTCGCCGCTGCGTGTATTTGTGTGTCTGTGTATGCGTGAGCTTATGGAATGAAAGTTCTTCTCGCAGAACTGGCACCTTTAAAGCTGCAAAGCTCTGCGGAAGTACCTTTTCCACCTGCGCTGTTGTTGCATGGAGAGATGTGGGTGAGGGACTCAAATGAAACATGGGCTAAGGTGTGACTGGGACTGGTCTCATTACCTTGCGTGATTTCTTATTTTCCAGACAGCACATCATAGAGAGGGAAAGAAAATAGGGAGGAAGAGAGTTATTAGGGGAAGACTAGTAGGTATCTGTGCACAGAGAGGCATGCAGAGCTACAGTAGAGCGAGCAAAACACACGCACATACCCACGTGTACTCTTTCATGCACACACACAGGCCCCGTCTATAAAAGCATAACACATAGCTGCAGTGTAGCACAGTAAAAGTGAGATTAAGGCAAAAATATGAAGAAACATTGCACGTGCACCTTCCTGTGACGAACGCCGTACAAAAACCGCACCGCCGCGCGAGTGGGAGTTTACACTTTAAGAGAGCGACTTCAAAAAAGACGTCACTTCTGAGAAGGCCGAGCACGAAGCAGATGGTGCCAGCAAGAAAAGATGAAAAGGGGGAAAAAAAAAAGAAGAAGCCCCAGACGATAAGACTGCGAGTGGCGCCATTTGAGCGAGAGGTGAAGTTGATTTTCCGTCCAAGTATGTGCCGCATCGTGTTTGCAGGCGAGCCCTCTTTGGTATGATGAACACTCCCGGCATGCAGTGTGTATGCGTACACGTGTGTGACCATGTGTGATGCTGGCGCTCTAAGCACAGCGTGGCACAACGGCCCTCAGAGATCCCGAGTGGGAGAGAATGAGCCGAGAACCATGCTGGAAGGTATCTCTGCTCTGAGCTCCATTACTAGTCCCAGCTCATCTTTTGCCCCCCCCACTCTCCCCTTCTCTCTCTCCCCACAACACTGTGCGCTTTTCCCCTGCTCGCCTCTTTTAATAAGATTTTCCGCTGCTTCTGTTGCTGGAGTAAAACACAATTAGCATACAGACGAGGCCGGGGAAAGGACTGAGCACCGAGAGGGGGAGAAAACGGCGGGCGAGGGGTAAGATGTGTTGACAGAGTGCTCGTTGATAATCACAAATTACGCTGTTTAATATAATTGGATGACTTACGGGCTAATCAGACTATTAGATCGTCTTCATTTGGAAGCGTGTACCTGCTTCATTGGTCTAGACGCGGCGCTGAAGAGTTTCATTACGCTTTCCTCGCCGCTGCTACTGTATCGCCTTCATCGGCCTCCGGCAGTAAAGTGTACACCAGCAGTAAAAGCTACATGCAACACCAAGTTGTATCTCCAGTAGGTGAGACCCTGGGAGATTTGTCTCATTTCTGGGGGGGGGGCGGAGGGGGGATTACAGCACGTCCAAAATGACGGCAGCTTGTCAAACTTAAAAAGAGCAGCACCGAAGCCGGAGGTGGTGGATGATGTAACAAATGCAGTCTGTACGACACAAGCAAGGCGCGTCAGCCCAAGACAACCGCCACCAGCAGCAGCTCGCCAGTCGGCCCTTCCTTACCGGCGCCTCCCCTCGGACAGGGTCCTTCCTGTTCACCGTGATCTCCCCTTTGCGGTTGGAGCGCTCCAGGTTGATGGTGTTCCACACGTTCAGCTGCAGTCTTTTCAAACTCCTGAATTGCACACACAGAGGGTGAGTCAAACATTGGCATGTCGTCGGATTAAAATGGCATTTTCACGCTCAGTCCTTATATAATATATACATATATTATATATATATATATACGAGTCCCTCCTAAGGAGGCTGACCTGATGGTAGCGGGCCCCTTTCCCAGGTCGTAGCGGAACTCCAGGATGCCGTCGTTGAGGGACAGCGAGATGAAGTCTCCCCTCCCGTCTGATTTTTGCCCGTTGTAGAAGATCAGACCGTTGGAGTCGTTGGCCATGAGGACCACGGTCATGCTCACCTTTTGACTGCAGCAAGCAAACACAGGAAGGAGTCAGAGTTACCCGAGGCGGAGATGCTGTTGTTAACACATTCTGCTCAGGCTTAAAGAGAAGCACAAGCTTAGCCTTTGAGTGCCACATGGTGTCGCGCGTTGAGTGACGCATGCAGGTCTCGACATGGGACTCACCGCAGATCCTGCCCGTAGAGATGGAGCCCCTTCAGCTCCAGGTAGGAGTCTCCGTTGAATAGCGGCATGTAAGGCCCCCTCCCCTCAGCCACTGGGGAGTAAAAAAAACAGCAAACAAAGAGACCATAATTATCCTCCGTTTTTTGTTGCTGACACACTTGAAATTCAGGGATGGTCGGTGCATCTTTCAGGGACCTGTCAGTGTTACGGAAAGAGATGGATTTGTGTTTTCATGGCCTTTGGGATTAAGACTTTCTCTTGACAGCGATTCAAACAATAACCACCTTACGTCACGCTGATTACACAGCCTGCCACTGCATGACAAAGAACCTTTGGAGACATGTAGAGTTTAACACCACAGCCGGGACCCACAAAATAATGCCGGCGTTGTATTTCGCCGCGCCTTTTTACCATAGTGTGTCTTTGCGATGGCTCTGCGTGTTTGCCTGTCTGCAGTGATTAAGACCGGCAGCGTGCCATCCTCCAAACACGGAGCTGCTCATTAAAAATCATTCAAGTGTCACCCGCGGGTATGTGTCACCGGTACAAAAACGGCCGACACGAGCCGCTCGCAAACGCACAAACACGCGCAAACACACGCAAACACACGCAAACACATATCCATGTAGCCAGCAAGAAAGCTCTAATTTGTAATTGGCCGGGATTAGCCGAGGCGTGTCAGGACGGCAGACAGAGATGAGAAAGCTAATTGGCCATTGTGCAAAGGACTGCTAATGATGATGGCGCGCACGGCGGAGGAGTGGGGAGAAATGGACTTGGATACGCCACAAGGACTCGCGCACTAAGCCCAACTATTAGAGAATCAGAGCTGCTCTTGGTGCAGTTTCTTATTGGAGTGTGGCGGGTTCTTTTTTCTTTTATTACACCCTGTGCTCTCAATCGAAAAGCCCCCCGATCAATAAGTTACCAGGGAGCCGGGCCTTGGATTGAATCAAGCGACCATGAAAAACCCACGTGACGCATGGGGAGTCGAGCATGGCGGCCAAGAAAGGTTTCCACAGTTTTCCGTTGCTAAAAACGCAGTAGAAATAAATGCAATGCTCGGGGAGCTGCTGGTGATTTGGTTTGTTTTTGACCACAGCTGCCTAACTAGTAATTGCAATACAAGCTATTAAAATAATAATTTGAAGAAAAGCAACAACAACGCAGCCAAAATGCCGGTTAAAAACGTTGTTGCTGCGATCTAAGCTCCTGGCCCCGCCCCCAATCCATCAGCATCTCCTGCAGAGTGAATCACTTTCACTTTAATTCAAATTAACACGCTTTATTTATGCACAAAAACATGCTAGAAATTGACAAAGCGTCGAGTCAAAATGTGATTATAAAGATAAAGATATAATTCACCGAATCCATAAAAAACAATCGACCCATGACGCGCGTGAAGTGTGTGTGCTGCGGTTTGGTTTTGTGTGTTAAAGCTGGTCACAAGCACATTGCAGCCAAGGAGCTGAATGCAAAACAATATTGGAACCTTCCCCCCTACAAGGCATTCCTGCTTTCATCACTAGATGATAATGATTCACAGTATCACAGGGTAACGGCACCAAGCGGGAAGAGAAGGAAAAAGGGCATTCGACACCATTGCAGCACCCTTGAGAAAAGTCCTTGACGGTGGAAATCCCGGCAGCAGCGAGCTGCACCGAGGAACCCCGGCAGAATTGAAACGGACGCTGTGGCTCAACTGAAAGTGAGCACGCGGGCTTAACGCCACGCCGCCTTTTCCGGGACGCGTCCGGTGAGCGGCCTGTCAGATAACTGCTCGCCCGCCTCACCTGCGAGCGCCCGCCTGACACTCCGGCTGACTGACGCTCGCATTAATCACCGCCGGCACGGGGGACTGGTGCGATTAGTCATCTCATTGATTCCAGTGGGGGGGGGGGAATAGCCTTTTGGAATGGGAGACGCTCTCGCTCGCGCCGCATTGATTTTGGTCCGCCCCAATTTATTTGAATCACCTGCTAACTGGGACGCGGGGAGGGTGGGGGGGGGGGGAGGCCGCTCGCCTTCTGCTTTTTCTGAACTCCCAGAGGGTCTTTTGTTAGCGGTGTGCATGTGCATAGAGTATTTCTGCTTCCAGTCGCAGTCACAGTGAGCAGATCCTGCAAACATCCGTGACAACATCTACAAAGCGAGGGAGTGTTGAAAAAACACGCGTTGACGTGAGAATGCGACGCCGCCAAAAACGCTAATGACGAACTTCAAAAAAGCAGCGTGCTTTGTTTTTTTTCCCCCAAACCGCGGCCCGGTTCTGCCGCTCGTAGAAGCAGCGGAAAATGTCTGAACACAACACCTGTGGGCGGATAGGCGGCGAGGGAAGGAGTGCGTGTGTTTGTGGGGGTGGAGGGACGAGAAAGCATCGCCGTTGCTTCGCCACTAACAAGCATAGCCGAGTCGGTGTGGTGAACGGCCCGCCGGGAGCCAATCATCTTCCTCGCTCTGCCCCCCCCCCCCAAATAATAAAAGCTTTGCGGAAGAAGACGTGACCTGCAGGGTTACCTTACCTGTCTCGCAGTGCCTCCCTTCACGCCCCATGGGACACTCGCATTTGTAGCCCCCCTCGGGCAGCGCCTGGCACTGGGAGGACGGGTGGCACCTGTTGGGCTCGCAGGGGTCATGGACGTCAGCACACGTTGGACCTGGTCTCACACACACACACACACACACACACACACGCACGCACACACACACACAGATCAACCGTGAGAAAAGCGGCAATGTTTTAAACCCTTTCCTTCCGCCTGAGAAGGGGTGAGACGCATGTAAAGTGGTAGCAGGATTTCCTCTGTAACAGAGGTCATTTTCTAATGGGATTAACAAATATTACATGTCCAGATTAACCAGTGGAGAGCCCCCCCCCCCCCCCCCCGCGCGGCCGTGTTCCTGTGGAGACGGCAGCGTCTGGTTTTCTCTGCGTTCACTCTTCATGACTTAAGCAGTCGGAGCCCGTGGTGAATGAACCTCCTGCTGAGCTCACGGCCCCCCCCCCTACCCCTCTGTCCCCCTTATCTCACTTTTTTTTGAAGCCATCTTTTTTCATCCACTGACAATCCTTGTTTATTTTCTGCATATCCCCCCCCCCCCCCGCAGTGTATTTACTCTCCCGATTCATTCTGTCCTCCCTCCAACTGCAAACGTCCACGCTCCATTTATCCTCCCTGCTGGCCCCCTGAGAGCCGTCCCTCACCACCAGATCCGCAATCTCGGCCACTTTCTACACCGACGCGATGATAAAATTAACTCGAATGTGAGTCCGCAGGCAACGGTCCAATTCTCATTATGCCCATTCATTTTACGCCGCGTTGCCAACACAAATCTGATCACAGCAATGCTCCTCCAGAGCAGAGGGTTATCTGCACCTCCTCCCGGGCTTCTCAACAGCGGCAAAGCATGAAAGCACCTCTTCTATAAAAGGCAATAATTATGTAATGTGATCTTTTATCCATCCAAACCTCGCCTGAGAGGTCGCTTTGCTCGCCACGAGCCCCCGCGCGACAAAAAAAAAAGGGCTTATTATTGTAGCATAAAAGTTAACTCTGACAATTAATTTAGTTCTGGGTTGAAACTTTCTGCAGCGAGCGGCGGCGAGCGGCGCGCTTGGCTGGGCATGCTGCTTCCTCCTCTCACAGCAGCTAGATTCTCTTGTTATTTAGTGCCTGCTGGAGGGATGAAAAATAAAAAATAAAAAGGCAACTGAAAGTAAGAGACGGGCCAGAGGTCAGGTTTTTAATTTAATCCCTCGCTTCTGTGTCGGACACACAGAATTATTGGTGTTTACAAAATAACTTCCAGGGCCGATACCGGGGGGCGTGAATCTCACTGTGGAATTAAGAGCATGAAGCTACTTAGGGTGTGTGAGTAAAACATGATCACAGCGAACCCCAGGAGCGAAGAGAACATACATAAACATCTTCCTACCTATTTCTCACCACTGGAATAAACCTCTCAAAACTACCGCAGCATTGAGGAACGCTGCTGACCGGCGCCGCTGCGCTCCTGCAGCGCCCGTCCCGTTAAGCACCTTACCCCAGAATCCTTTGCTGCACTTGCAGTGGAACATCTCCGCCTCCTTGACCAGGCACGCGGCGCCGTTCTTGCAGGGATTCGGCTGGCAGGGGTTGTTGCCGCATTCGCCCACGCCGCTGCCGTACATGCTGTCGCCGCCGCTCTCCTGCAGGTTGAGCTTCCGGTTGTTGACATCCAGCACGCGGATGCAGCCCACTAGTCCCGTACCCACCGCCGTCCTCTCACTCACGCTGCAGGAAAGAACAATTGCAGTTGTTACACTTCTCTCACTCAAGGTTAGGGTGGTTTAAGGAGATGATCTGGGGCTGGCGACCAACTAAAATGTTAAAATACCAAAACAAGTGTCCTTAGTATGCTTAATTACTCCCTGCTCAACGGAAAGTAGGAAACAAACTTTCAGTACCACTGGGTCCTGTGTTATTTCAGCGAGCATTAGCATATTCCTACTATTCACTATTCAAAACAGACCTTTGTGTACGAGGGCTCCGTAGAGGTCAGTGGCCAGATAGAAAAGAGTCAGAAGGATTAAAAGAACTGGATTAAAAATGAAAGGCTGTGGATTTTCATTTCGCAGCGAAGCCACAGTTAATGGACTTCCGTGCCCTGTATGTTATCACACACACACACACACACACACACACACACACACACACACACACACACACACACACACACACTGCGTATCACTGTGGATGGAAGGTCTTACTCCTGCTTCATTTCCTCCGGCACGCCGCCGATGAACAGGTCGGTGTCGAGGTTCAGGCCGTCGGTGCCTTGCGGGCTCTCGCCCTCGATGTAGGGCTCGTTGTCCACGCTCAGCCTCGCGCTGCGCCGCTTGCGGGTCAGCACCAGCTGATGCCAGCGGCCCTGGTGGATCTGTACTTTGCTGGCCACCGTGCCTGTGCCCGAACCCGTGTTGAACCTGAGAAGAGGAGTCGCAAAGTCAAACCCCCTTTTGGACCTGTAGCGGGAATGTTTGTCGAGCAGCGCCTACTACACAAAAAGATCTGTGAGAAAGAAGCTGTAGGGATTCTGTAACATGCGGCTGGGATGAGGCAGTTGCTCACTTACAAAAAAGCGTCTTCACACCCTCTTTTTAATTGAACCTTTTATCTGATGAGTTTTTGATGAGAAAAGGTCTGCCTCGTCACAGGAAAGAGTCGTCGCGTACGTGCTCCCACAAGGTTGGTAGTTTTAGCCCAACCTGAGAACAATTATCTATCACAAATGATTAGTTCTTCTCCCCGCGTCCCGGATTTGAAGCGCTGTGGGCGGTAATCTCACAGCTGTATTTCTGGAATCGAGGCGGGCCTCTTTTTCGGAGCCAGAGTGACTAATGATCTCCTTTGGTTTGCTATTGATTCCCCTCTGAATGGGGAGATGTAACCTGGCCAGGTTAGGGCGCCCTGAAGGGGCTTTACCTTCAGGGGTCACAGGGAAACAAGAGACCAGAAAAGTTGTTGGAAATAAGTCCAAAGCAGACGCTCTATTTAGTCCTTTCACGTCACGGCCCCTGCTTACCCTGGTGGATTGTTTTTGAGGAATTGCATACATGTTTCTGCCAGGAAAAATGCTCCAATTTAAAGAGACTGCGTCTACTGCTGCATGCATTTGGTTCAGATGCCGTTACAAGTGGATCCTAAAGAGACAAGCGGAACCTCAGATGTTTGTATTCATCCGTCCACGCTGGCGCGGTGTGAATGTATTTATGCAAACAATATATGTTGCTTCTATCCTGATGTACAACATGTTCAGTCACGTGCATCTATGAGCCGTTTCTGGAAACATGTCTGTGAGTCACAGCCTCCATCTGGAAACACAAATGTTACAGATACCAAAAAAAAACGGATATATGTGATTAAAAATACAAATCAAAACGACAGATTATGACGTCCTGCGCATATTTCCGCACATATGCCCCCGCCGTCTGTAAATGTGATCACGCGGACAGCTTGTTTGCAAGTTTGAACACATTTCTGCCTTTGTGGTCCTCGTCTGCAAATCTGTCAAGAATCTTCTGTGTCTTTCTTTTTTTCTTTTTTGTATTTTCTGGCGCTGTTTTTTTTTAACGCTGTAATTATTTGCCTCATTATCTCCGATGCTCGCCGTTCTCCCTCAGCTGATGGCCCTGTTTCGCCCATGGGGGTCAGATTGCAATACTGACAGAAGCAGCGTAATCAGCAGCAGACCCCCCCCCCCCCCCCCTCCCTCCCTCCACTTTCCCAGGGCTCACCTGAGCTCCACCTTGCCGTTGACCAAAGCCAGAGAGATGAAGTCCTTCTTGCCCGTCTGGCCGTTGTAAAGCAAAACGCCGGGCGTCTCGGACGCTCTGAACTCCATGGGGATGCGGACGGGGTGATAGGCGCTCATGGTTGGGAAAGCCAGGTACGACTGGCCCCCGAAGGACGGGATGAAGTATCTGATCACTGTGGAGGAATGAAGACAGCAAGCCGGCCCTGTCGTTACTACGTAATTGGCGTAGTGCGTAATGGCCGTTTATTATGCATAATTAAGCATGAGGTGGGGGGGTGGAGGTTGAGCGGATTTTTACAGCCACCCTCCAGTCAAACAATTCAAGCACTCTCAGTCAGACAAACACACACACAGACGCAGAGGAAACCTTTGTTTTTCTGCCACTCAGCAATTATCATCATGATCATCCATATTCTCCCCACTGGCTCCTTTTCCCTCCGTCATTCTGTCTTTCTGTCCGTCTCCCCGAGGAGACTCGGTTCTAATGACTTGATTGATGTGGGGGAGGCCTCTTATTCCAAAACACACACTGATTCTCACCAGCTAATCCCCATCCAAGCAATTATTGTCAATTATCTTAACATGCAGCTGCGCGAGGTTGCTCTCCGTCCCCTAAAGAAGGATGAGGGGGGGCAAAAGAGTTGTGCATCTCAAGAAGTTCTCCCTGATTTAGGATTTCCTCCGTGGCGCTGATTGGATTCTGCGTTGCCTTTGGCGAGCGGCTCTGCGGTTTCTCAGTTCCGTCGCTTGAGTTGAGTTTGAGGCGCAACCGCGAGATGTTGTGACTCAACCGCGCCGAAACGTACTTACAAAAATCTCCACACTGGAGCTGAGCCCTGATTGCTGTTCATCAATCCTCTTTACACAACAGCTTTGCATTTACACATCTCAGCACTGGCTGGAAGACGTTACTCACACAGCTGATTGAAGTCTCACTTCACAGCCGCGTTGTGAAGCTACAACGAGACAAAACAGACGAAATGTGTCCTTTTCCTTCTGCAAGAGAAACGTTTCATCTGATGAAACATTCCGTTCGTAGGTCATTAACTCAAAAATCATTGCGCGTTGTTTCTGCTGCTTTATGAGCAAAACTTGATTACAGGACAAAAAGCGTGACTGGCACAATGGAGAGTGAGTTTCCAAAACCCTCTCACGTGCTGCGAAATCACTTTCTTTGTCATTTCAATATTTCCAGAAATGACAGAATACACAAGTCTGATCCAGCTTATTTTCTCAGGTGAGTTTGAAACAGACTCAGAACACCGGACATGACTTTCCCTCTAAAGCATAAAGGCCCAGAGGACCCGCTCACCCTTCTCGCACACGGAGCCTCCTCGGCCGGCGGGGCACTGGCAGCTGAAGTCGTTGCCGTCGTCCTCGCAGGTGCCCCCGTGGAGGCACGGGTGGGAGCTGCAGGGCTTCGCCGCCTTGTGGGAAGGCCGGCCCCTGACGTGAGCAGCAGTGGTTGCCGGGTGGGGCTCGGTCGAGGTCACCACTGCGGTGGTGCTGGTGGTCGGTGCTGGTGTGGTGACCGGTGCGGAGGTGGTGGTGGTGGTGATGCGCCTACCGCTGTTGGGCCGGCGGGTGGTGCCGGGCGGGCGACGGGTGATGTACATGGAGGTCGGCGGGGGCCTGGTCGTTGTGGGGGGCCTGGGGGCGGCGGTGGTGGTGGTGGTGGCGGGAGCGGCTGTGGTGACTGACGCCGTGGTGGTGGTGGAGGTGGTGGTGAAGAAGGGGACGGAGGAGAGGCCTGTCAACAGAGAACAATGGAGCTGAGACGCCGTTCTGTTGAGGCTGCAGTCCTGAGATTTTCCTGTTCAACAACCGTGAAACCTTTGAAAAATCACCTCATGAATAACTTAAACCCCTCTTTTCATTTTATTAATCCACACACAGCCCCGTTAAAACCCACACTGCGTTACCATAATTGGTGAAGCGAATATTCTCGTCCTCGGGCTTCTTCACGGCGATGCCGCTCTCTCTGGAGGCCTTCAGCTGCTTCAGCAGGGCTCCTTCAATGTCCTCCACCGTCAGCCTCGTATCTACCACAAACAAGAGGCACAAGCAGTCAGGACGAGGCCTCCCAGGAGCCCTTCAAAGCAAAGGCGGGACGGGGCAGCGAGTACATCGGGGAGCGCCGTGTCTGACAGGTGGAGGGTCTTCGGGGACCTCCATCGCTTGCCCCTGCTCGTTTCCAGATGAATCGCTCCCATAATGTGGGCTTTAGAGGCCGCGGCGGAGCGCTGCTCGCCGTCGGCCTGCTCGGAGGTTATGAAGGACACTAAGGGGCACAATGGGGAGGGCGGAGTTCTGTTTGGTGCAGAAGGAGCGATAAGACCAAGTTGTGGATTCAATCACATCGTTTTGAACTGAATTCTTTTAAAAAACAAGCCCGTTCATTTCATTTGTTTTTTTGATGATATAAGCTTGTGATTAACTCATTAGAATGGAAACAATAAAAGGAACAACTCATTAGTTTATGTCTCCCTCTCTGTCACTCTTTTCAACAGTAACAGCAAGCTTAATTTCTGTGGTGAATTTTGTTGGACTTTTGGGCACAATTCGATTTCCTGCAATTTCCCTAAAACTTTAACCGCTGAGGACACAAAGAGACACTGAAAACGAGGACGAGACAATAGTCTCACCTTCATTTAGGGAACACTTTATGAACACAGGGGCAGATTGTTGCAAGAGGTTCATTTGGCAATGAGCTGAAATTGAAAAATCAGAGGATGCACAATCCTCTAAATGTTTTTTCTTTTTTTCTTTTAATAATTTTTTGGGGGGTAAAACACAAAAACAACAAATGAATAATGGTTATTTGAATGAATCTGTAGAGGGAAAATGCAGTCAGGGTAATTAGGTGCAGGTACAATATGGTGTTATTGGGAACGAGAGGTCTGTATGGAATATTAGGAGAAATACAATATAAAAAGATTCTGCTCTACATTTAGTCTGCGCCGTGTTATATGAATAGCCGGATTAATAAAAGGAATGAGGTGCTGATGCAAGGAATCCAGGAGAGGACTAATTTGGCCCCTTCGCCTCACAGTCCAGCAGTTACAAGTGCAAATGGGAAGTGCTTTTAAAAACGGTGAAATAGTGGTTAATTCAGCATAAAAGAAAAATAATTGATCTTCCTCGGCCGGTGGCCTAACTTTCATCACCAATTTCATTTAAATCCAGTAGGATTTTCTTGAATTTATCTGACTTAAAAAGAGACAAAGGGGAACAAACCACAACTGAAGCGCATATAAAGGCGACTGGACTTGCTGTCTTGAGAGGCCTCTCACCTGGGTTGAAGTGGGCCTCCACAAAGGCCAGGATGGAGTTGCTGGGGGCCAGGTTCCGGACACGAACGCTCATAAAGTCTTTGTGCGCCGCCGACTTCCTGAACAACTCATTGAGCTGAAGGAGAGAGAGAGAGATGATAAACGGGGCTGGTAATGAGCAGCGAGTCCATTTCCACAAGACTGTACTCCATCTCCGAGGAAGAAAGACTGCCGCTCGAATTGGGGTGCAGAGAGGAACCCTCTCGGGTGGGGTTGCACAAATTGACATTTAGCTGCAGCCGTGGCATTAATTATGGAGACAAGTTTTCGGGAGGAGCTACGATAAATGTCGCACAACCATTACACAAGCTTCTGATTGGCTTCCCTTCCGAAGCCCCCCAATGTGCGGAAGCTGCGAAGCTGGACTGAAATGGATTTTTTTTAGCTAACAGGGATTTTTGATTAGCTAGACTGAAGTTGGCCAATCAATTAAAAAGGATCATGTTCATGCTGGTTACACACACAGTGTCACAGTGCTGGTGGATTCGTCTCATTCACGCTCGCGGGGGAAGCAGAGGAATCTCCTCCTCCGACTCCCCGTCCTCATTTCAGCTGCTGGTTCACCTTCCCGAAGCCACAGCGCCTGCTAACCGCACGCACCTCTGAGCGAAGGGTCTCCAAGTAACTCACACCGACCAGCCGCATCGCAACATTGTTATTCCAGCCAATCACTGTGAATAAAGTCCCTCACAACACGGGACATTCACGTGATTTAGTTTTGCCTTTTCCATTTTAGTCACTGATTAATACGGTGCATCCATTTTTATTGTCGGGTAACGCTAACGTTGGTGTTAGTTACCGTGTCAACGTTGTTTTTGCATTTTCTTCAACAGGAACACTGAAGGCGCTCCAGACGTGAGCACCGACGCGAGCGGCTGCCGATTCACTGATGACACCGTCGATTTAACACACCCGGAAGACTCCCTTCATGAACCGACTGACTCCAATTTGCGGGTTGAGGCGCACCGGCAAATCAGGACGGTTGATTATTAAAATCCTCTAAAGCCGGCTTAGGCATGTGAATGATTGACAAACACTGATTTGCAGAAGAAAACCCCCATTCTCTCACATTCGTTTATCCAACAATCACGATGCCACAGAAATGTACGCCGCCTTGATTCCGAGTGTGTGTGTGTGTGTGTGTGTGTGTTTAAAGTGAGAGTTAGAAGATGAAGAGGGGGGTGGCCGCTAAGTGGCACACTAGGCTTCAGAGGCTCACAGGCTTGGAGTATAACGAGCACACACACACACACACACACACACACACACAGAGCGACATGTCTGTGAGGTAGTAGATTAGGTCCCAGTGCGGGCTGGTGACACCGGTACAACAGCTGGTAGATGTGTACCGTCTATACAGAGCCCACTTCATCAGAGGAGCGAGGCCCTGCCTGGACAACACACACATCCGTGTTGTCAAGGTTTTATATATGTGTAACATCTTAATCAAGCTCACGTGCTGCGGTGTTTGCCGAGGCGAGTCTTTTTTTTTTTTTTAATATATACTTTTCATAATAAACTTTAAGAGTTCTGGTGGAGGTTCTGTGCTCACTCAGCCCTGAAGCTTTACTGCTGTGCTCGAAATTAAATGAGTCTGACAATTATGTAAAACATCCTTAATCAGTCAGCAGAGAATGTGAGGGAACTTGTAGTTTTGAGACACACACACTGTGAAGGGTTCTATTTTGCTCTACTTAACTGGGTGAAGAAAACATGGAATTCAAACGCTATATACGGTTGGATAATACTCCCCGTTTATTAAAAATCTAATATCTGACACGCTATGTTCCCTCCATTATGTGTTTTTTATCATAGTTATTTCTTCTATCAAATCTCCAGCCAGTGAAAGCACTCTAGCTCAGTGCGACAGAATATTCCTCAACAGCTTCGGGGGTGTCAGGTCTGCAGCGCCTCAAAATGAAACCCGCCTGCCTGCCGGAGTTCACCAGTTGATCAGCCCGTCTCTAGGTGAAGGGTTTAGGTGCCTTCAATGTTGTCTCACAGACACTCTCGCCATGAAGATTCTTGGTGAAATGCAACATTTAAAGTCGTACCGTGTAGCGTTTGCAGGACTGGAGACACTTTTCACAGAACTTTTATAAGTGCAGCTTTAAAGTCGTCATCGTTACGGGATCTTGGCTCAAATGGGACCATGAAATGAACGATTAATGCATAATCCAAGGATGGAGGTTCAGGGATAGCGGAGGTGGAGAAGAGTCTCTCAAAGTCTCTGAACTGCTTGAATAGTTCCGTTTGTTAAGTTAAGTTAATTTGGGAAAATGATGTTATGTAGATGCCGATTTAGCCACCAGATATCATCACTTACAGCCCCCTCTATGCTCCGCGCCGTCTCTCCAAACAGCTCCGATTTGGGGTCCTCCATCTCCCGGGTGTAGAAGATCTCCTGGCCCTCCACTTGGTCCAAATGCAGGAAACCGCTGAACTTCATGGTGGCTGGAAGGAGAGGAGTTGAGGAGAGAAGATGTGATGGAGAAACACCAACGCTGCAGCCTTCCTCTACGACCCGAGTGCTCGTTTTTTGGGGTTGTGCCATTTTTCGGGGGGTTAGTGATGGATTGTTTGTGTGTGTTTGACAAGAGGAGGTTACTGAGATTGTTGCTGATTGAGTGGGCGTTTTGAGGGGGGGGGGCTGGAGTTCGGGGAGTACGTGGTGGTGGAGGTGGTGGACTGTGAGATATGAGAGAAGGAAGGAAGGAAGGAAGGAAGGCGCAAAGGGGCGGGTACGTGGAAATACACGCCAGTTTTACCAGACTGAGACTCGTCCAAAAAGCTGGCCGAGGCACGGAGGGCTGGGCAGAAAGACAATAAGTTAGACAGACGCACAACACACATGAAGGAAAAACAACACACTCACACAGCAAACAGACCCACAGGCAAAGTGCTCCCCAAAGTGCTTCCTTCAGCAAAGAGTGAGCCTCACTGTGCGACCTCGGGGGTTATGTTGTCCAACATTTATCAACTCTACTCGTCTCTTGCAGGGTTTTTTTCCCCCCCGTGTAGCTCTCGGAGAGAACGCAGCTGCAAATAAAGCCGAAAGGGGATTTGTGTGCGTGCGCAGGGAGGAGAGCGCCGTCGAGGCGCCGACGCCGTGCTTTCCGCGCTGCTCGTAATCAGCAGAGCAAATTGCCCAAATCAATCACGGCTGCCCCGGCCTGAGCAACGCCAGGGACAACGGGAAGAGCCCCCGCGCGTGATCATCGGCAGAGATAGTCGTAATTGTCTCCTTAATGCCCGAGCGCTGGCTGCCTCGGCCTTGTAGAAGCTGCAGAGAAAAAGGACAGCAGACGCCGGGAATCTGCACACCACGTCCGCCGCCCGGCTCTTTACTGGGCTCTCAGGGGCGGCACACATCGACTGATAAGGGGCGGGGGGGGAGTGATCTTACTTTTAATCTGTTAACAAAACAAACATCACAGAGGGTGATTTTCCGTGACGGACGTATCAGGAGAAAGAAAGAGAGGGATGAAAGGAGGGACGGAGCCGTTTGACTTATCACGTGCTAGTGAACCGTAAAATGTGATGGATTCCTTGGACTTTCCGTGGCATGTGGGAGAGTTTACAGCGGCTGCAGCTCAGCGTGTTATCAACTTTCACATTTGCTGGTCGTTATCTGTGGTGCCATGTGGAGGCCATTGCCTTGATTAAACGTAACATGTAACAACATTATCAGATCAGACGCCTCAGACGAGGTCACCTTAACACGTGAACGGGCCCGCCGCACATCCGAGCACGTGATGCGTGTTTTTTCACCCCCTAATGAGCGCCTGTGCTCCCCCCCTCTCGGAAGAAACAAACAGGAGATCCTTATCGATCAGCCTATCACTGTCCTGCTTATATTGGAAACACTTGAGGCGAATGAAGTATTGATCGCCGGTGCGCCGTCATTGTTGGCTGAGATAAATGATTATAGGCTTTAGTGGATTTGTCCACTTGTTCTCTTTAACTGTTACTGTTAACTCTTACAGCTAATCGAAGGCTCGTATATGTATTGTCTGGATTTGGGACCACGACACCAAGCCTTAACGGACATGTTTTCACCCCCCGGTAAGCCGTAAACTCTGTGAAACGACTAAACGGCCGAAGGTGACCTCGTATCTCCCCGATGACTCATCTGGTTTATCGGAAGGACTTGGGACATTAGCCCGGCCACCATTGCAACTCTGCCCGCTAATTTGGGGCCTCGGCGCTTTCAGAGTCGTGACCCGGTGCTCCCAATGGGAGCCCAGGAGAGGTCTCCCCCTCGCTATCAGTCAGACGAACACCGCCGGGATGAATAGAGGCCAGATTACAGCGGAGGGATGGAGCGAGAGGGAGCGATCGAGGAGCAAATGGGAGAAAGAAGCCCATTATCCTTATGAACCGAGTGTGGCAGGAGGCCCTGATTGGTCCAACAGCCTCTGGTCGACTCTCTAATCAACTGATGCAACACGGGATCGGGATTGACTGAGTTGAGGTGAGAGAGTGAGTTATTGCTCAAGGGGGAGGATCCAAATCATAGAGAATAACATACGTGTGTGTGTGTGTGTGTATGTGTGAGGGGGGGGGGGGGGTCAGAGGGAATAAAAGGAAAGGTGGGCAATTTAAATGAACAGAAAGAAGGTGAAGGCGGAGAGTAAAACGGGCCCTAAAATATGACGATGACTCAGGATGCAACTAATATTAGCGGCAGTGTCTTCAAATTCACAAACATGGATTACCGCGGCGACGCTTCCACCGTTTTTTTTCTATGTCCTCCCACCTGCCAGAAGGATCATTTACATATGAGGGTTGTGATTCATGAAAAGCGCGGCAGAGGATAAGAAATTGCACCTGCTCATCTGGTTGCTCAAGGCAGATGGCACAAAGGCACTATTCCCGGAGTAAACATTCAAAATATCGCGTCGATTTGCAATGCATCAAAATAAATTACGGTTATAAATTGAAGAAGGCAGTTTAAAGAAAAGGGAAGCGCAGATAAGCATTCTGTGCAGGGGTAATAAAAACAGACGAGCGTTCACGTGAGCTGCCAGCGTTGCACATGGAGAGGGAAACACGGGTCAAAGAGGGAAGCCTGCTAAGAAGCTCAGCTGAAAGAGGGGGGAATGTTATTTTGGGAAAAAGGTAGGAAAATACAAATTCCTCCCGCTAATTATTACTCGTACTCTCCCCTCCGGTTCCCGCCTTCATGCTAAGCTACGCTAACCCTCCCTCGGCTCTGGCTTCTTGTTTGACACAAAGGCATGAAAGTGGTATTGAACGTCTCCTCCCGCTCTCAGAGAAGTGTTATTGTCAAGCAGCAAAGTCGATTTACTGCATCTACAATAGATGGAAAGACAGGAAGAAAAGAGGCAATTATCAAGGCAGAGAGAGGGTTTCTCCTTCGGGGCATTTGGACTTACAGGGGCAGTTGGCGCCCTCTGGAGTGCTGGACGGCGTCTTGCCGTCGGGGCAGCAGCCGAACTCGCCGTTGTCGCAGGACGAGCGTTCCTCGGCGGTGGGTGCAGTGGTGCTGGCCAGCGTGGAGCCTGGTGGAGATACAGAGGGGCTCATAATAATCCATGAAGCTTCAGGACCATCAGAAATTCAAGCCAGCATATTGCTGAAAGGCAGAGGAGACTTTTTTTTCCCAGGCTCCGGGGATCGGCCGCGTTGCCCGGGTAAAGATCGGTTGTTTTCTCACAAATCGCTCCCGCATCAGCAGATGGCCGAGTTTGCAGTCTGCTGACCTGTGATTGGACGCTAATAGAGGCATCTGTCGGGAGCGATTATATGGCATTTTCATGGGAATTGATTTTACACCTGGAACTCATTTATTCAGGCGGGGAACACATAATGGCCACTGTTCAGTCATGTCACACACAGAGCACTTTAAATGATGAGCGGATATGATAACCGCCCTGCGCTGATTGGCCAACGCGCGTTCAAGGCTTCCCAGAAGAAAAAGAAGTCGCGTTCGCGTTACAGTCCCTACATCTGGGACGTAAAACACTTTAAAGTGGCTGCGCTCGCTCACTTTGGAGGACGGCGGCGCGTCGCAGCAGTTTATGGCCAAACAGAGATTAGAAATAATCATGGAAGCAAACAGCCAGGGGCCAAACAAGTCGTAAAGACGTCAGAGGCGAGGGACAACGGGCTCAAGGACTCGCGGTCAAGGGAGGCGAGGAGCGGGAGGACGGGGGAGGACCGGGGGAGGGACGAGGGAGTTTATGGGGCATCTGTTGGCGTGCGGCCTGCAGATTTACAGATGCTGGTGGGGGAAAGTGGGGCTAGCCACGCCGGCAAGAGGACGCGCTATGACTCCAGTGGGAGCCATGACAGCTGTCAAATAAATTCACACACACACACACACACACAAGGTCACGGATAAGAGCCGCAATACAAAAACACAAAGAAACACACACCTCTGGCCTCCTCACATTTTGACATGTGCACATATTGGACAAACTCAGTGGCGAAGGCGCTGGAGAAAGACACACATCACATCACACGCAACCATACAGAACTCAACTTGAACATGCAAAGAAACGGACACACAGTTATAAAGACACAAGTAGGATCTTAATATCCACATATCCGTGATGTACGATCTGTGTACGTCAGCGAGCACGTACAGTAAAAAGTAAAATAAGCAAAACATCCAAGTATCCTTTGGTACACATTTCCTCACACACACACACACACACACACACACACACACGCACAAAGCCACGAGACTCCGCGTCTGGTTGGCAGACAGGCTACATGCCACCGAGCACTCCGGTCAGCTTCTGACAAGAGAATAAATGTAAGAGCCTGTTAGAGGGGGAGGAGGAAGAGCCGAGGAAGAGCTCGACGTACCATCAATCCCATCCTGTTACTGCGCGCTGTCGGCCGGGGCGGACAGATGGGTGGAAAACAATAAGCAAAAGGAGAGGAAAAAAAAATAGAAGAGTCTCCCGACTTTGTGTCCCGGCACGAAGCCCGCTGTTACAGTCAGGAGGGCATGTCGAGAAAGATTTGAGACCAGTCATGTGACACGCAGCCTCCACGCGCACACGCGCACATCATTGCAGCCCGCCAAGCCCGGCTCCAGAGTTCCCCCGACGCGGACCAGCGGCTTCATCTGGCCTGCCGAGGGTCTATTTTACGGAGCCGGGTTTGTTTGGCGAGCCGCCGTGCGAGCGGGAGGACAGAGAAACGGTGAGCCGTGCAAATGCGTTCCTTTATTCGAAATTGAGATATGCATCTCGTTCAAGTGGACACGACATACACGACACCTGTTGAAAAACCATTATTTCCACCCGCCCGCTCGGCATAATATTTGCATAGAGATAAGGAGGCCCGTGCCGATTCGCGGATGATGGCATGGATGTGTTGGGATGTCAATTAAGAAGAAACAATGAGTTTGTCCGAACGTTTCTGAGGAGAAAAAAAAAGCTCCCTCCCGCACACAGCCCTCTAAGCATTATGGGTAATGAAGTGAAAGAGCGGTGATTTACCGACAGTCTCCTCTGCTCCACTGGCCTCCGTCGGGATGCCGCTACCTGCTTCCTCCTCCTGCTCCTCCTCCTCCTCTTCGGTCTGGTCGTCCCCGCTCGGCTCCCCGCTGCCCGAGCCCTCGGAGGATGAGGCAACGCGGACGGGGGTTCTGCGGGAGGAGTGGCCGGTTTGGATGGTTTGGATGGGCTTTGTTCGGTTGTGCATGAGGGTGGTAGAGTGGGCGGTGGGCGGGGGCCGCCGGGGGGGCTCCGGATCGTTGGTCCGTGGAGGCGGCATGGCGAACACCTGGTTTGGGGAGAATGGAGCCGGGGTGGTGATGGTGGCGGCGGCGGTGGTGGTGGCGGGGGGTTTGGGGGTGGGTCGGTCTGCCGGCTCAGAGATGATATCTGGTGGAGGGAAGGGGAGGAAGCAAGGAATGGATGAGTGACTGTGCAAAGATGAAAATGTTTTGATTTTGCTCCACGTACCTCCGACACAACCCCGAAAATTAGTTAAACATCATAAGCCGATAACAAAGGCACTTAATGATATCGCACCCTACTGTGACAATACCTTGGAAACTTTTAAAGCATTTTCAGAAAAAATTATGTCCTTTTAAATAGTCCGAGCCTTTTCCCTGATGCTCAACAAAAATTGCATGAAAAAACACACACACACACACACACACACACACACACACGTGCACATATATACAGTCTCCTGTTTGTAAAAGCAACCTCTGATTGAGAACCCGCCATGGATGGGATGTCAACAATCTTTATCCGACAGACCGTTAGTAATGAAAGTGCCTCCATATGCAGACTGAATCTGCAATACGCCGACAGATGACACACTGCGTTCAGAGTTATGTGCACTGCAGTGTGTTTCTCCTGCAGATGAGTTATGTTGTGCCCAAACAGGGTTAAACTACTCCAGTCGGCGTCAGTGTGTGCGCCTGCTTGTGTGGGCACACATATGGAGCGTGTTTGTGCGTGCACACTGTGCCAATGCATATGAATAATGCATCCATATTCATATGCTGCCCTCCAGTAGCAAAGCTTTAATCACCAAAAGCCAGTGCCTCCGGTGATGAATGATTGATAGAAATGGGGCGAAAGAAGCCGGCTTTAACTCCGGCTTCAAAGGCGGCGCGCTGCACGCGGCTTGCATCCGTCGACTACACCACAAACACACTGCTCGTCATCGGACGCGCAGAAAGGGGCGCACGCACACGCACACACACACAAACACATGTATTTAAGGATCCATCCGAATGAGGGAGAGAGAAGAGGCTCTCTGCAGAGAGACCCATCGTGGAAAAACCGCTCTGGTGCAAAAGGACAAACTGTCTGCAATAAAAGAACGATAAGGACAAAAACCCCTGAGGGGGAGGGAGGTGGGGCGGGTGCTACGCTAAGAGATCACTCCGGAATGAGCCGAGGCAAGCAGGCGTGACAACGCTGACGTTCGTCCCCTCGGGTGTAGGTGTGTGGGTGAACAGAAGATTAGAGACAAAACTAAAGATTTGCCCCTCATTAGGATTTGCCTCACATTACGCGGAGGCCTTAATTGCACCGCTATAATCGGCTAGCTGGATTGGCAATTATTCACTGAGGTGCGAAAATGATACCTATGCCGAGACAGGCAGAAAAAGCCTGGGAGGCACTCAAGGGTGTGATCTTGGAGCTCGGCAGATAGCCTGCAGAGAGAGAGGGGGGGGGGGGGAAGGGAGAAGCAGCGTCGATGCTATCGCACAGAACGGTGGCATGCGTCGCCTTTCCTCTTGGCTACACCTGTCAGTCAGCTGCCAAGCTTAGCGTCAGGTGGCTCGCACCTGGGAAGTATCTAATGTGTGTGTGTGTGTGTGTGTGTGTGTGTGTGTATGCATGTGCATGCTATGTGACATGGGATAAGGAAAGAAAAGAAACAAGTAGCTGAAAGAGGAAAGATGGACTGGCAGCACAGTCTGTTCAACTGATGCTCCTCTTAATCAAGTTTAACAGTCCCTTATGTGTGTGTGTGTGTGTGTGCAGATTTTCATCTCCGTGGAGCAACGGACAGTTATGTCGCATTGTGAGGGAAACAAAAAGAAAAGAATCATTGTCATCTCGCCTCGTCTCCACCGTGTAGTTATTGTTGAAAGGCGGTCATTAAGCCAGTTGGAGGTGTCGGCCGCCTTCAGTGAGGACGGCGAATGTGGACGGAAGGGGAGGGACGGGGGAGCCGCACAAAAAAGAGAGAGATAAAAAGAACAAAAATAGCCGGTTAACAAAGCCGTAGCTGTGGGAGAGTACAGTGGAACAGAACGGCGAAGGCAACAGACCCGCACGCGCCATATGCCGGCATACGCTGCCAATTTGCCACAAACCTACAGGTGATGACACCATATGGGAGAGGCAGGTCATTGCCAACTTGGTGGCCAAGCCCCCCCTCCAACCCCCCCAATGCTTTATACAGAATAGCTAGAATGAGTATTTTGGGCTTGCTTTCCTATATGGCGTCATCATTTAGTGGAGAAGCTGCAAAAGAAGCAATGAAATCTCTCCCCTCCCCATATAGTGGAGCCGTATAGTCTCTTTTTTAAGACTTCAGAGAGTTTGGAAACATCACAGGTTTTTTTTCACAAGCAGAGCAGATTCTAAGGAGCTTCTCCATGCAGGGTTCTCCCACCTCGCTGCGCCCATTAGGCGACTGTGCTGCAGTAGTCACACAGTGGTACCGTTGGCATCGTTAAAAAAAATAAGGATAAAAAAAGTTGCGACGGATGAATGATGTAAAAGAAAGAAGGATCAATAGTCGCTCATTTATGCGGGGCCCTTTGGCTCTTTTCTGGGGCCACGGTGCAGCTCGGCGAGCATCGATAAGCCGCGGAGCTCCGAGGGCCCGGGGTCTGGAAGCAATGCGTGTAAACAGCGGGGGGCGGCGCGGGGCGGCTGCAGAGCAAATGCTAATTCGCACCCAGCCACACGTGAAATGAGCTCGAGATCTAACCCGCCAAAAACCCCCCCGAGCCCGCGGAGCAGCGAGCTACCCGCAGTGCAACCGCATCGGGGGGGAAAAGGGATGAAAAAGATCCTCCGTGGCTGTTAGGGCGGCCCAAGCGCTCGCCTGTCTCTTCCTCCCCCGAGGATTCAATGGAGAGAGGGGGAGAGAGAGAGAGGGAGATACTCCGCTGTGAGGCGTCTTCTCGCCTTCCGTGTGTGCAGCAATGCTTAGGTGAGGGATTACACACAACCCCGCTTCTCTATTGCCAGGCAACAGAGCAACGTGCAACCAGACCGGATTCTTGGCTCCCTGCTTTGTGCCGGTGACCCGCGGGCACGGAATTGGCAGGTGCCAGATGTTCGGGGACTTATCAGAGCCTTGTCGATCACTCGCTGAGCATATTTTAGGATTCTTTATCCGTGTACCTGCAACCGCACATGCACACGGAGCGTGTCAACAGCCTGCCCCCCCACCGTGGATATGACCTAGTTCGGGCCTGAGAGAGCTCAAAGGGAAGAGGGGCTGTTGCTGTTTTTTGGTCTACCTGATCCGCGCCCACTGAGCCAAGGGGTTGGATGAACATTTTCCCAACCCCCCCCTCCCGCACAGAAAAAGCCAAACACCTGGCAGTGGCTCGTGGCCAGGAGCTTTACGGCTGGCACTTGTCTCCCCACCCCTCCCCGTCGCGCTGAGCGTAGCCAGCGGCGTCGCTGGCTTCCCCGCTGCGAGTGCAAGCTGGCAGTCGGTGCGACAACTTCACTGTACACGGAGGACCTGCGGCCTTTGGCGCGCGTCCCTGCACCAATTACACAGATCCAAACAATGTCCACCGGCATCTGGACCGAGGGGGGGTGTCACAAGCTTCACTATGCTCACGCCGTTCTCCACATCATCAAGAGTCACACACATTACTCTCACGTGGCGGCGTGCAGGGGCTCGCTCGTTCTCGTGGATACGACCTACATTACTGCTTTAAAACAACCCTGCTGGAAAAGTGCTGCAAAATGAAAAAAAGCTGATTTTTGTCTGTCTGGCCGTGTTTCCGTGGACTCAAAATCAGTCGAGGACGAATCTGCTTGCACGTTGCAGTACGTGCGCCGGGGGCTCACCTGTGCACCGTCCAAAGTGTTGCACCGTGATGTCCCCCCTCACCCTGCAGGCGATGGTCCTCAGCTGGCACTGGTCGGCGTAGGTCACCCCGTCCGAGCCGCACACCTGCTCCGCAGGGACCGAGACGGAGGGAACACACGTTAGCCCCCTGCAGCCCGCCGCTTACTAGCCGACTGTGAGTGCCGACGTCTCAGAGAGACCCACCTGGGTTTTGTTTTTGTCGTCGCAGTCGGGCGGCGGGCACTCGCAGTGCGCCTGGCCGCTCACCTCCGTGCAAGTGGCTCCAAAACTGCACGTCAACTTGTCGCATGAAGTCGGGGCCTCGGAACCTATGGGGGGTTGTGGGAGGTTACAAGTTACAAGTAAGGTCCCGTAGTCACTCACATACACAATAAAAGGTGCCCTTTTCACTGCCATGAGATTGGTTTCTCAGTATCTATGAATCACTATTTACTATTGGGAGTGATGAAACCAAAGGATTGGTTTCTGAGTCTGCCACAGCACCCATACACGCTGCATGTTAATAATATTGCAACAGTCCAGCTGCTTTGACAGCTGTCATCTCGCAGGTTGCCATGGATCACGGTGTCGCCTTGTTGCCATGGTACTGCACTGACTTGCAGCCAATATAACGTTGACATTACATATTTAAATAGGTGTCATTTGTCCATTATGGAGAGAAGTTATTTACTAGGTTATTCTGCAGACAACAAGACAACAGAACGCCAGTTTTGGTTGTTTTTGGGGGCCTTGGAGTCTGGTGTTGTGAGCTGTACAGACTGTAGAACCTGCGGAGGCATATCTGTTATTTGTAATATTGGGCTCCATCATTAATGAATAAATAATGCGTGAATACATTTAAGCTCTTTGACTTAGAACCTGGTTTAATGATCTTGACGCAGCCACAACTCCCATCGCATCGCATCCCACTGGTTGATTATGGGAGTGTTTGGGACACGGCTGTGAGATTGTCCCACTACGCTGTGCATTTCTCTCCTCCGTGTGACTGGCCTGTTTTTAGTGTCCTTAACAACCACAGTTGTAATGCAATGTCAATTTAAAATGTCTAGTTATCGGAGAGTCTCACAGTGTAAATTATTCATGGTTTCATCGTATCAGTATTTTGCCAAAACTGCTTCATACAACAAAAAAAGTTCTATAAAGCATATATACAATTCAGCATATTTTGGCCCTTTTCTTTTTTTTTCTCCCACAGATCTTCGCTGAAGCGTTTGAAGCCTTGAAGCGAGAACCCGGCCCACCACCCTCCACCCTCCACCATCCGAGGCAGCGAGTGTGGGGTCTTTGCATCGCTGCGACATCACAGGGGCTTAGAGTACCCCCCCCGCTCGCCACGCGGCCCCCCGCTTTCATGTGCTACACCTTGTCTTTTCATCTAGCCGGGCGTGTGGCGCTGCGCCGGGACCACCGGCTTCATTAAGCTCTTGACCTCCAGTCGATATCCGATGGTGCGTCTTAATCAAGCAGCTGCAGGCTCCCCGCAGCAGGAACTAACCTTTCCCTCGAGCGGCTTTTTTTTCCTTCCTTTTGTGCGATCACTGGGGCCGTTTCCATTATTAATCACAGTAATTAATAGCCCCCGATGCAGAAGCATAAACAAACACACGCGAGTGCTGTGAAACGTCTTGGAAGTGTAGGAAACACGACGCCATTTTCCACCTGGCGATTGAGGGGTCACCGTGCGGACACGTTGGGCCAATAGAGCAGGATGCTCACGGAGCTGATCAGCGGATCACAGACGAACACAGAGAATGATGGGGACGGGGGCGGGGGGGACACCCCCACAGGTTAACCCCGCCCCTCCTCACCTTTGTCACAGCCATCGGGACACACGTTGCACTTCATGCCCTTCACGCCTGTCTTGCAGGAACACAGACCCGACATCTGCTCGCAGTCGTCCCGGACAGAGCCTGTGGCGTCGCAGTTACACGCTGCAGTGGAGATTCAGAGGAAAGGGGGGAGGGGCAAAATGATAACTGGTTTGGGACAGAGAGAGGGAACGGCATACCGATAGCTCGGTTTCCATAGTGTACACCGGTGGTGTATATAAAACCAGGGCGAGGCGTCACAAAAGCTGTAGAACACGGCGCTGTGCCATCAGTGTCGGATTTATTAAACTGTCAACACTGAAAAAAAACACAGAACTTGTGGACGTAAATCCCATTAAAACCTCTTCTTTGAGGATGAAGAAATTGATTAGCCTCACACTTGTATTTGATTGAATATTTATTAAATAACTATTTTTAGAGAATGTTTGAATGGACTCTGATTTGAAAAATTAAATGATGTATTATTATTATTGTTATGTATATTATTTTAAATCTCACGTGCCCCTGGAGTGCCTTTGCGTGGCCGCAGGTGTACACGCATCCCTATTTCAGAATCTGAACTGTCAGATACATCCATGTGTTAAAGAGTCGAGGGCTGTGAAAAGTTTACCCAGCCTCAGGGCCCACAGACGGAGAGGAGGAGAAACGGTAACTGAAAAAAACAACCTCAGGGGAAGGACAGCGACCCCATCGTGTTCCTAGAATCAATGATGGCTTGTTTTTCCCCTCCTCCTCGCCTGCTGGACGTCGCTGTGCAGTCAGTGTGCTGTCTGCTTGCTGTGGGTAAACCTTGTTAAGGTCAGGCCACGGGTGGTGCACCTACACGCATCCCGCTGCTGACGGAAAATGCTCCGCGGCGTTGGGGGGGGGTATGTCCGATTGTACCTCGAAGCGCTCGTCACCATATTGCATTACAACAAGACAAACACGGGGCCCTGACCCCGGTTCTCCGCTTGAATACAAATGAAAACAGTTTGTTCGCTACGCTTTTGACAGAACTAAAGGAAACGGTGGGATTTTCTTCTGCAAAACCTTCCATCAAACTGTTTGGCTGCATATATTAAATGTAGGTAGTCTATGGAGAGTCATAGGTCTTTTACTTAAATTCCAATTCAATGATCTTTCTAGTAATGTAGCTCTGGTTTCATTTGTCCAGCCTGAAAAGCTTCTCGGCTCCATCCTACAACCAACCAATGGTTTTAAAATTGGACCACAGAGAGATCTGTGGATTATGTGGAACTCTCAATCGGACTTTTCCTCCCAAATAGTTACAACATCTATTGCATGTAAGTTTTTCTCTTTTATTCTAATCTGAGGTTTTGTCCTTTTAAAGCTTTTAGTGAACAGTAAAGTCCTCCAAAGCAAACGTAAATGTAGCTTTATCGGGCTTTACAAATAGTCATAATTTACTCAACAATCCAAAGAACACCAAAACCCTCTGCAAGGCCGGATGCTGCTTGAAATAAGAAAATGTGTTTTTTTCTCTAAAAACCTTCAAGGAAAACAATGTACAAGGATGTCTTAAGTAACAACAAAAAAAGCAGCGTGAATACAATGGCTACAACAGCACTGCAACAAATGATTCCTTACGCGTGCAGCCGCTCATGTTCTCCGTCACAATGCCACGGAAGTTCCAGAAGCCCGGCTCGCAGCGGTCGCACTTCTGTCCCCCGACGCCCGGCTTACAGGAGCACTGGCCCGAGGACGGGTCGCACGTCCCTTTGTAGGAGCCGTGGACGTTGCACTGACAGGTGCCTGAGGAGAACAGAGCGTCATGGATGAAGGTTCCCCCCCCTGCGGTGCGGGTTTGTTTGACGGCCCGAGCGGCCAAAGTACCACAGGTTTATGCAGGGCTCAGGCGGCGGGCGAGCTCTGTTCCACCCACTAAAAGGGCCGGATCAAGCGTGTTTAGGTGAGTTATCGCTCTGCAAAATCTCTGTGTATTTAGTCTGCATTTCCTCCGCCCATGAAGCATTTCTCCCCCCCCCCCGTCTGCGTGCTATCGTTCGTCAAGATCATCGGATGAAGAGATTTGTCCTGTTGATATGGTGCAACATTATCATAATTATTCCTCGGATTAAGATGAAACGTTTTCTGCTCTGCAACTTTGGAACTGTAATTGCAGTCAAGGACAATAAGTCCCATATGCTGAAATGGCCTGATAGTATCTCACGCTTTCATTTTTTTATAACTTTTTTCTGCGCACGCACACAACAAATTCGTCTCACATGGAAGTTGTGGGGTGGGGGGGGTCAAAGGTGACGTGGAAAAAGGGAACTTACTGGGACATCCAGCCAGTCCGACTCCTAAGGCAGCCGTCACGTTGTCGTGGCAGCAGCCGTACACAGACTGACTGCAGTGCTGGGGGGGCGTCGTCGCGGGGGGGGACGTCGACGAGATCGCTGGTGAGGTGGGAACGAAAAAGAGAAGGGGGGGGGGGGCAGGAGATAGTAGAAAGGGGGGAAAGAAGAACACCATCATTTAAGGGATTGCAGTAGGGGGAGAGGTTCGGGGGGGGGTGGGGGGAGGTTAGACAACACAATCTCCAAGCAACATGTAACGTTTCTTTCTTTTTTTTTGCCAACAATGAGATTGGCTTTAGGGGCAGAGGTGGAGAGGCTGCCAGCCGGCTTCAAGATAACAATTCTATTTTCTCCACAATGGCTCAAAATCTTTGGGGGAGGGGGGGTAGAATGATGCTATTACCTCCAGTGAAAACAAACAGCGGCGTTGCTGGTGGATGTTCGGCGGCTGACATTTACCACCTACGAGGAGGCGTGTTCTCGTGATTTGTTCTTGTCTAATATTGGGGAATTGCACTGCTGCCCTACAACTTTCTGCTACGAAAAAAATACAGGGGGAGAGAAAACCCGCTGGATGTTGGGACGGAATGTGCCGAGCACCGTCCGCCTTTGTCGGAGGATGCACCGGCGTTCAAACTAGTGCGGCAGCTCTGAATAAAACTGTGTTCCCAGAACCTGGCGCGTCTCCAGAAGCCGGAAGAGGAACAACTATCATTCTCTGCAGGCTTTAGGGTGAAGAGTGGAGTCAAAGAGATAGAAAGCAGAAATCTTCCCCCCGCGTTCATTCCTCCCCTCTGTCTCCCTCCACCCGCCTCCCGATCCCTTTGCCTTGTGTTGCTCATTTGGAGTTTGGAGGCTGTAGATGCAGGGGCCATAAATCACACAGTTACTGGTGTGGATATGAGCCTCAGCCTAATGGCGACGGCTCGGCCTGCTCTTTTTCCAGTGCTTTCCCACTCCAGAGATGGGCTTTGGACACAGTTGATTTAACTTGACACCTTCCAGCGCTGCGTTCGGCTATCTGTGCTGAGCCTATTAGGACAGGGGGGGAACTTTTAATTTCATATGTTCTTCCACCCTTCAGGGGTTTTCCCCGCTGCACAATGCGGCTCGCTGTGACGTTTAATGTTACCCTCGCATTTCTGGCGCTGTCCTTTTGTCCGCTGCGGTGGTCTTTTATACGCTGGCAGGGGCCCGTCAGCCGCGCGTTTTCTCGTCTAGTAAACCAATAAGTGTTCCTTTGGATTTGACGGAAATCCCGGGGCCAGATTGGAGCTTTCAGGTTGCTTACAAAGGGCGGTTTGAAATGCCTTCAAAGGTGCGCGCACACGCAGCAGGGGACCCTGTGAACACCGTATGCAAACGAGGTACATTTTGTCATTATCATAAATGCAAAAAACACACAAAAAAACAACAACCAAGGTTGCTTTCCTGCTCATAGCAGGAGCTGGCATGTTTTGATAAGTTGCTACAGCGGAGGTCAAATACAGTTAATGTGGAAGGGCAGTGAAAATTCCCCAAGATCAGAGTGTTTCCGTTTGCCAATAGGAGAGCAGAGCTCTCGCACCCATGCAGGGAAAAAAAAGCAGGAGAGGAGGATTGATTATGCGCGGCTGGTCGAGAGGCGTGACAGTCAGTGCCCACGGAGGGCGTCTTAGGGAAAGAGAAGAAACACTGCCGAGCCCCCACTGCCTCACTCCCCCCTCAACCTTCTCCATCCGTCTTTATTTTACACCCACGGGGGAATGAGCACAAGAACAGCCCCCCGCCCCGCAGAAGGTCCTGATGTAACACTTCCATGGGCTAACCCTCAATACTCGATCTGACAGCTATCCTGGTTAATGAATGCAAATCGTTTACATGAAGAGAGACAGCGTTTCACATGTTACAGCAAGTGGGGGAAAGTGGTGTCTAGGGGGTTAAGAAGCAACCTTGTGCGCACAGGTTTTGTGGTTTTTGTGCGTTGTGAGAGCGTCCGGCGGCGGGGTGCGTCATCATTATCGCTATCAGCTCCATCCATACATGTGCCCGTGAGAAAGATCCGTATCTCTGGGCGCCAGCCAGCCCCACAGGAACGCCGCGGTCTACAGATGTGAGCGAGAGCCTCGCTGAAAGGCCTCGAGTGTGTTGAGTGCACACGCACGCATCATATTTCACCTTGACCTTCTTTGTTTCTTCAGGCCACGGCGGTCCCGCCGCTATGACACAAACAGCAGACCCTTGCCGCCCCATGAATGGATGGAATGAGTGCAGAAATGGGATGTCAATGACAATGGGTGCCAGGTGAGTGTGCTTCTGCGCGCCGAAACGACAATGACTCTTGAGTGGTGTACCGACCTGCACAGGGTCCCTGATTCTGAATCATCAAGTGCTCTTGTTTCTCACATCTGGCCTTCTTCAAGTGGCACTCGTTGCTGTAATTTTTTCCATCTGAGCCACAAACCTGGAAGGAATGGCAGAAAGTTGAGGATTACCTACGAATGGAGCTACACCTGCAAGCGGCAGTTTAAACAGTCGATTGTATAGAAGTCTATGATGAAATGACCCAATTGTCACCTAATTGGTTACCTCAGTAAGCATCGAAAACATGCTGTTCTTTTTTTTCTTTTTCAATACAGCGTTGTGAGTGAAATAGCAATAAGCAAAGAGCTTTAGGGTTTGGCAAACTTGTGATTGACAGGTCGCTACCACGCGTGGTCCAGTCTGGGACTGTTTTTTCATCTTACAACTTTAACCCTTTTCCAGAGTGTTTTGAGTTCATCAAGTTTATTGTCACCATACAAATATCTTACATTTACATTTTAGGTCTCCTTGTCAATTGTTATCCGGTATATGAACTTTTTTTGACCTATTTTTAATACAAAATGAAACCATCTCGTGCCATTTCAATTAAATACATCTGCTTGCTCAGGGATTCAGAGACACAAAACATTAGGACTTCTTTCCACTCCTTTATGCGTTAGCCTTTTAAACGTAACATTGACATTTGTATGTAATTGCACATTGGTGAGAATTGTTCCTCTTGTAACCATAGAAGTAAAAGACAACTATCACCTGAGCTGCGTTGGATCTATAATAAACAGCACACGTTTTTGGAATAACAGGAAGTGAGATCTAACTAATAAGCAGCTTTCTAACATGATTGCTGTGCGATTATCCCCAATGAACCCGAGTGATGCTGCTCCCATTCGTCTGATGGGTTTCAGCTGAGAAAACAGGCTTCAGACGCACTAAATGTGCTCTAAGGAATGAACCACGTACCGGGTTGAGAGGCACACTTTGACAGGAGAAGTCACAGACGCAGCGGTCGTCCTCCGCGTCCTCGTCCCACGAGCCGCCGAACGTGCGGCAGCGGTCCTGTTCACAGCTCTCCGCGCCCGAGCCCGACCCCCCGGAGCCACAGTCTGCGTTGAGAAAAAAACACACCACGAGGACACGGGGTCACCACAAGGTCAATGAAGGACACGCGGGAGAGGTCCCGGGAGACCGGCTCTAAATCTCATGTCTCTTTAAATTTGAGACCACATTTACACATTAGCAGCATCACAAAGTGAGGATCATTTACATTTCCCTCACACTGGTGGGTGGGTGGGTGGGATGGGAAAGGGGGGGGGGGGGGGGCAGTGCTGGTAGTGCAACACATGACCAACTGTGGTGAGGGAAAGAGAATAAATAAATTAGACGCAACACCGCCGCACAACCAGCGAGGCATCCTTCTCATTTCGATTAAATCGGGAGACAAAGAGGGGCCGCAAAGTATTAGCTGTGGCCTCCAAGTGTGCAGAGGGAATCAGTGGCGAGGCCGGCGCGACGGTCGCCCGCCCGCGGATATGAGGACACGACTAATTGGAAAGTGCGCGAGTAAAATCAAATTATCGCCAGAGACTTTAGAGAACGTTGTCCCGGCTGCTCTTTCACTGTCACCCCGGAAGGCCTTTTGTTTGTTCTCCGGATCCAGCAGAGCCCAGCGAGAGAGTCCAACACTCGACGGGGGCTCGCGTTGCTCGACAGAAGGTTGGCCGTGATGCGCGCTTGTGCACACGCTAGCACAAGGTAAAGCAACTTTAGCACAAGGTAAGCAACCCATAAATGAAGGGGAACCGTGACCGCCGGCGCCGCTTGGAGCTTCATTCGAGGAAAAACAAGTGCAGGCAGCAGGCGGGGGGGAGGTGGGGGGACTCCGGCTTTTGAAGCTGCAAAACTTCACCTCTGGTGGAACTCCGCGGGGAGATCAGGTGCGACGTGTGTGAAAGCGGGGAATGAAAGCGCCGGCGCGGCAGAGACAGGGAGCGTCAGAGGGAGCGAGAGGGAACCCGTGGGCTGGCAGGCAGCTCATTTGAAACCAATCTGTTACTCCAAAAAAACATAGAAAAAAAAAGAAGAGGAGTGCAGTCCAACTAAAAGCCCCCAGCGCAGATTCAAGAGACTCAAGATAATCAGGCTGTTATTTCTCCTTCCCGTCCGTATTGACGCATCCGCTCTAACGGTGAAATCGATGGCGTAATGATGGAAACGCCACTTAGCATAACCCATCTTCTCAAGTAGATCAGGGAGCAGGTCGCGGGGGAAGGGGAGGGGCCCGGGCCCGTTCTCTGATACGGGTCATCGGCAACGGGGCTTGTGACAGCTTGGCGCTGTCGATTCAGCGGGCGGGGCCTTCGCTTCATTAGCACGGGGCCCAGCGGCCCAGCTGGAGCTTTGTGCCGAGGCCAACGTCCTCCACACAAACATCCGGGCTAGTTGAGGACTCGGCAGAACCTCCGATCCTCCACAGCGCCCGAGGCTGCGGCCGCCGCCAGCTTCTCATCGAGTCGTTGATGAGGGTGACATTTTGATGGCTTCAAACCGCCGGCGCCAATATCGCAGGTATGTGAGCGCCCCTCGGCTCATGGTCTGAAAGCCCGCTTTGCGCCGTACGCCGCCTCAGCAGGGCCCAGTAGAAGGGAAACGCAGCAGTAGCCCATTGATATTCCGCTCAGCCCCCCTGACAGAGACGACATAAATAAATAAAGGAGGTGAGACATTAGAATGGAATAAATAAAAGTGAAGGACGGAGGGGGGGGTCCTCATTAGCTGCTGCTCTTTGATGTGCCCGCCGCCCGCGCTGCCTGTGAACCTTTCAATTAACAAATCCCCAGCTAAGACGGCTCCATCAGCTATTCTCTCTGTGCTGCCCAGCCGTCGCTTTTTACTCATTCATGTCAGAAACCAGAGGCTATTTAGCCGAGAGAGCTCCATTAAGAAGATAGGATCCAGCGGGCGGAGGGGAGAGCATAAGGAAAATGTCCAAGGAAGGCAGAGAGGGGGAAACAGGACAACAACAAAACACTTCTGCAAAGACACATGGCAGTGGAAATGAGGGGCGGCTTATGTTGGGGCGGGCTGATCACTCGTCTCTACATCTGTGGCGTCGGCAGGTGACCGACATCCTCGTGATCCCGAAAGATGGAGGGAGAGCGACGACGTCTTCGCTCCTTCTATGGGCCGCCCGTAAGTCCCGCTGTTGACGGGCGTGACAGCCATGTTTCACCATGAGAGCTTGCGGAGACGGAGAGGGAGTCTTTTTCTTATCTCCTGGAGCATCATTGATCCCATGCGTGCAGCGCGTGAGATGCTGCACTCGTAATCAAAAAAAATCCCAGTCAATTAAAAAGGGCCAGGGGGGGGGGTTGGGGTGGGGTGGGGGGCTGAGGTGATGCACTGATCCAAGTCACCACTTTGTCAGTGTCGGCAGAAGAAGCTGAGGCCGGGCTGAGTACCCGCGCGTGAAATTAAACAGGTGATGCATTTCCCTGTTTGGCCAACGGTGGCAATGTGTCATTTTTCATTACTGTTAAACAAAAAAGAAAACAACTTCCATCTTTATGCTCGCTAATGAGGATGTTGTCTTGGAGTGTGTGTGTGGGGGGGGAGGGGATTGTGCACAATGGTGATGTAGAACTTTGCCGTTGTCCACCACGCAGCCAGAAAGTAGCTTCAGGTCCTATTGTGGCAGACTGCTGTTAAATCCTCAACTTTGCACGCCGCCTTCCAGCGCTGCAGCAATGTGGGAATAAATACAAAGCTGCTTATTCTTACAGTGAGCAGCCCAAGAGGAAGCGTCCCACGGCCACGTCTCGAGGGAGGGAAAATAGCAACTTGGTGGTTTGATGGTTTTACGATGACACCAGACGTCCTGTGGAGGTTCCGATTGGACGGGGCTGAATGGAAGCGGGCGCAGAGTTCTGCCGATTTCGCCCCATAGGGCGAACTTTATTGAACGCAGGCACCCCCCCCCCCCCCCACTCCCACCCACCCTATCTGTGAAGGCATCGCGGCTCCTTTTGTCGCGAGGCGCAATTTTCGATAAAGGCCGAGGGAGGGGCGGGATGGCATCGAGCGAAGGGGAAAATAGAGACGGCGAGGGAGAAAAAAAGCTTCTATTGTGTCAGCCGCCTGGTTTTCTCTCAGTCAAAATGAGCAGCTGAAAAAATGCAGAATGTTCAGAGGCAGAATGAGAGAGAGAGAGAGAAACACACAAGCACAGCAATGCCCTTGGGGAGGAAGAAGAGCCGTTTCGCCTGATACAAGACAACCAACAGAAGGAGGACGTGTGTGTGTGTGTGTGTGTGTGTGTGTGTGTGCGTGTGGCGACGGCGGCTCTGCATACAGTTTCACATTTCTTCACGCTCCACATACAAAAAAGGTCACTAGTCTCAGTCAATGAAATGACGTTAAATCGACCAAAAGGAGCTTTGGCGGCAATTTGTCTGGAGACACAAAGGAGAGAAGAAAAAAAGAGGAAGAAAAGAAAGACAAAAACCGCTGGCTGGCAATCCGAACGGAAAGAGGATTGTTCTGCGCTCTGCATGCCCCGTCCTCCATCCGCTCCCCGCTGGCAGGTGTAACCTGCTCCCCTTCACACCTTGTCAGAGGTTGGCATGCCGCCCCTACTGACGTGTCCCCCGTAGACGGGCCCGAGCGAGGGGCCGTGATGCCGGGCCTCGGCCCCCTCAGCGCGGATCAAGATATGATTTGCAGGGTGAATTCGATTAGTCCTTCATTCAGAGCGACGGAGTGCACAGCCGTGGAAATCGGCGACACACTCGCCTCAAGTGCCATCGGTCACACACTTAAAAGCATAATTGGAAGGAAGGGCTCCGTAAAATGTGTCCTGTGAACGACGTTCCACAGAAAACAGCACTGGAGCCCGAGTGAGGCAGAGTTAAATGCTCATGGCTCATATGTTAGCCAGTTGGACGCTCTGAACGCCGTTCTCATTCACCTCCATACTTCAATCGCGCTCAGCTGCTGACAAGAGAACGGAACACTTCCTGCAGATATTTCACATTAAAAGCCTTCCTCGGAAAAGAATGTCACGTGTTAAAATGGTTTTAAAAGAAGTGGTGCGTTTTCACTGAACTTAACTTTCCACTTAACGCTCCACACAGCGGGTTCTGTTGATGGAGGCGCAGTATGACCTTCCCGTCACGCTGTGCTTTGTTAGCCTGTTAGCGTGCTGCAACCATTAATAAATCCCTCACATGACTGGATGCTGTTCCACAGGTCAGTTGATAAAAATAATTACACTATTTCAAAGGCCGAATGGTTTGGATAATCACACCATTTCAAAGTCCATTTCCCACCTTCGTCACAGCTGCCGGGTTTCGCCACATCGATTCTACTCTTCTGCACGCAGGAGGACGTGCGGAGTTCACACTCGTTTTTGTAGGTGACGCCGTCGCTCCCGCACACCGGGGCAAGGCCCTCGCCAGAGCACTGCGCGCACTCGCACTTGCTCCTGACGCAGATGGCCCCCCAGGCACAAACTGTGCTGCCGCATGTTTCTGAAATGAAAAGGGGGAGAAGGGGGGTGGGGGGGGGGGTTTACCTACAGTATTTATTCACAATAGACTGAGAATGGATTTCGTCTCGAGATTTCCTTCCCTAATTGCAACGCATGGCACTTCCCCTTGTAATATGCCCCCCTCCCCCCCCCCCAAACGGGCATATACTCCCTCCCTGAGTAATTCTCCATCTGTTAAAATTTATTAGAATATGAACAGCGCGCCTGCGGCTGTACGAGGTCCCTGCCGCGCTCTGCCTAAAAACATTTTAAAATGAATTTAAAGCTCTGGAAAAAAAAAGGTCTCTCTGTGTTTTACCAATAAATGTTTCAACGTGTGAAGTCTGAAGCGCCCTGCACGGTACGGACGCACGCATTACTTACTGCACTCTCCCTGGCTGACCACCCGGAGCTCCATCTGCTGTTTGCAGGACCGCACGTGCAGCTCACACTCGCTGTCGTAGGTGCTGCCGTCGCTGCCGCACACGGGCTGGTGGGAATCCACGCACTCCGACGCGCACACGCACTGGCCGCTCTGGGCGTCGCAGATCGCCCCGAAAGAGCAGTTGGCACAAGCCTCGTCTGGATGGAGGCAATAGAGGAGGGCGATTTACGTTTGCGTGACTTTGGTAGGACTTTTTTTGTTTTTTGTTTACGATGTATGAGATTTGTCCGTTAATCTGCAATCCCATTGCAGTGGATTGCATATTGATCATTCTTTTTCTCTTTGATAATCCCTCAAGATCAGTTTTGGCCTTGCATTGTTAATCGTATGAATGCTAATATTCAAAGGAAAGTACATCGCTATGGGCACAACATTCATTTGTATTCACTTATGTGGTCAACGTCTATCAAAGAAGACGCCACTGATGCACATGAGTAGCCCATTTGTTATTTACAGATGCACTGATCGCCTGTTATCTTACAATTTCCTGTGTATTAACATTCATAATGTCACCAGCAGCCATTAAACAATAAATGGGTAAAATGAGTTGTTGTCGTTTCTTGACAAGCCGACAGCTGGTGTAGTGCTTAATGAGGCCGTGCTGCAGAGATGCAACGCTTCCATATCAGCGTACCGGCGCTTTCAGACTTGTTAGGAGTCCACCTGAGGGAGACTCAATTGACTTAAATGCTTTTGAAAAGGGAACACGGCTGCCCATCAAAAGGTGTCACGACTCAAATTCCTCGGGAAACTCTCCTCACAGACAGAATTCTACCTAGAAAACTGAAGTCCCCCAGCAGCACAATGAGCTCCATCACCAAAGAGCCTCGGAAGCACACAGGAACTACACTTTGTCGAGCTGAAAACAGCCGTCTGCCAGAAGGACGGCACCGTCCATCGGTCAGGACGTTACGAGAGAGCTGAAGCTGCGCCTGAGGAGAAAAGACCCGCGACAGCCTGAAAGCACGAAGGAAGCGATTCTCCGCTCTGACGAGACAGCGCTCGAACTCCTGAACCTGGATGCCGATCGCCACGTTGCCATACGTCCGCCTGCTGACTGCCGGACGCCGCACGTCGCCGCCCCTGATGGTTCCAGCCTGTCCGCTTATACGCACACTATTTCCTCCCGCCTCACTCGTGAACCAAATCGGGGTGTATGATATCTGCGAGTTCTCACCAAAAAGACAGCGAGCAGGCACTCGAAAACGCTCGGGGAGCTTTTAAAGCCTTCATATTAGTCGGAGGATTCACTTGGATCATCTCAGGAGAAATTGCCTGCCTCCGGAGTCTTTCCCTGAAGGTACCGACTGTTGCCACGCGGACAGAGGAGGAGGCGCGTCCACGGCAGGGCGAGCAGCGAGATGTGCTTTCCCTCTGACTCCAATTACATCGCATTAGCGCTGCTCGCCATCATCACTCAATTAGAGGCGGGCTAAAAAACGCCACTTATTTAGCGCTAATTGAGAGAAGCGAGGCCGGCCGCTGGAACCTCTCCACATTATTAATCTGCTTATTGCGCTTTAAGAGTTTCCTTCGTTTCTCCATCCGGCGCTGGCATCCTCTGCTTTTTTTCTTATATGTGAAGTGGACGTGGCCACATACATATTGTACATTAGGAAGGTGACATATTTCCATGCGGTACATTAACATGATATGAGCCGCCATGAAACTATTAAACCGACTATTCGTCTGTGCAGAAAACCACAGCACGTTTGGGATTGGTTGGAACACCGAATGCAAAACAGGCCTCAGCATAAGCGGCAGATCTCACCAATGCCGCTTGCAAATCCCTGCAGCCGCGTTCCGCGACCTGCAGGTTGTTATTCCTGCATGTTAATGCTCACGCGGTTGGAGTTTCTTTCACAGTGTATCGCCGATGTGCGGGTATGTTCTTTTGGCTATGTATTTAAGGCTAATGATGCTAACGATCTCAGACTAAATCATATTCTTAAGAGATCCGATGTTGGTTCTTCTATCCCAACATTAAAAGTGTGTTTGCACCGGAGGTTTTGGCACAAAAAGACGAAGCTTAATTACAGCGAGGATTTTCTGTGCCAAAAATAGATGAACAGAGGATGTAAAAAATGGGGATTGCTGTGGACGTGGCTCTTCCAGGGTCGCGGGCAGCTATAAATCAGGAGGAGTTGGTGTCGAGTGTTGTGCTTTATCAGGCTTTGTGTTCCGATAGCAGCCTCGCTTCTTTATCTGCTGCAGCCCCCTCGCACCTGGCTCTCCACACTGCCTGATACTCCAGACAACACGCGCCGCAAAACACACCGGAAAAACAGCGAGGAGCAGGCGGAGAACCGTCTCCATTACCGGCTAATGTTAAGACGTCCACTCAGTCATCGCCAAGTCTGTCATCACAAATGATGAGTTTTCAGTGGAAAATAGTTCATTAAGACTTTGCAAACCATGACAAACGTTAAGCCCAAAAGTCTGCTTATAACCTGGTAGCCGTCAGCTCATCTGAGTTTACTTTCATGTCGGCCAGTGCGAGAACCTCTCCAGCCTGAAAAATACACCCTAACACCACGTCTGAGATCAAAGTGAGATATCATAAGATATTCTCATACCACGGCCAATAAAATTGAATACCAACTGTATTCAAAGCACAAGCTCCCACACCGCACCTGCCTCCGGCCCATAATTCAGCTACACCGCAACGCGATTGGCTTCCTGATCAGAAGATTTGAGACGATAATCATCCGTTCATTCGCACCCATGTAGAAAATCAAACTAAAAGACCTTTCGTCGACGTGCCCTTGAAGACCCGGGACCCATAGTTGGGGACGGCTGACTGTTGTGTGTTTGGTCGCAGTGTTTGTGAGAGAAATAGGGGCAGGTTGCTATAAAATGTGGCCTTGGAAAGCACGGAGGATTGAGTCACAGCAGCAAAAACAAAAGACCCTCCAGCTCTGCAGCGTTTTGTTGATCTCCTCGCTGGGGAAAAACCACCTGAATGGCGGTGGAGGGGGGGGGGCCCGGGCGGAGTGCGAGCTCAGGATTAAGCAGAGAGAAGTAGGCTGGTTTGTGTTTTGAAGGCCTGTGAACATGCCTGGGAGATAACAACTCCCCCGCCGATGCCTGCCCGCCCGCGATAACCTCCTCGCTGGCTCCGCTCCTGCTGTCTGAGCTTGTCTTTTCTCCTAGTTCCCTCAATTCATCACTTCCCCCTCCCTCTTTACATCCCATGCTGACTGACCTATATTTCTCACTCAACTGTGTATATCACCTATGGGAGGAGGGGGGGGGGGGGGGCTTTTTTCTTAAATGTTTCCGGGGCCGCTGCTCTCATCTGTTCTGTAGAGCCGGATGAAATGCCCTTTCTTCGAGCTGAGGGGTCCATTAACCAAGCGCACCTCTCCCGGCCCGCCGTACAAGGTCGCCCGCCACTCATATGCAGGGGGAGGAGGGGGGGAGGGCGGTCTCCAAATAATAACAAATGTCACTCATATCGCTATTGGGTTGCACCTGAGCCTTATAGATAACTGCTACTGCTCCGGCCCGCAGGGAAGGAAATTAAATTATGGCCGGGCCCATTGAGACGCGGGTAAGCCACACACACACACACACACACACACACACACACACACACACACACACACACACACACACACACACAGCAAAGAAAACACGGCCAGACGTTTTCTATGGCGATACCTCTCTCTTCTTAAGCTATTGCGGCTCTAACCTGCCATCATTTTGAGTCTGAAAGCCATGAATCTGACAACGTACACATTGAAGTGCATTTGGAAGGGAATGTACGAACAGTGCAGACAAAAATGTTGCGTAAAAAACAACAAATGCCACGTATGATGCCAATTATCAGAGTAAACAAGCAAATGAACATGAATTAACTAACAGTTATTCTTTCATTGTTTGCGAGATGGATATGGCAGAAATGGAACGATACCTCCAACGGCGCCTGACGGCAGCGTGCGTTTGTCCGCCTCCTCCCTCCCCTCTTCTGCCCCAGTAACGTGTGTCGTATATTAGAGGCTGCGATGATTAGGTGAGATGATATCTGAAGTCAGTCCGTTGTTATGCTGCTGAACGAGGGCCCGTAAAGCTCCGCAAACAGCCCAGAAATAACACACATTATCACGGCCATCATTCCTCGGCCGGCTCGCGCCTGCCAAGCCGGTGCCTCAGCGCTTTTATGGCACCGTCGCGCTGACGCAGGCCTGTTTTTTTCTCTGGGAGCCAAGAACCACGCTGGATAACAGACAGGGCCCTCCGCTCCGCCTGCCCGCTTTCTAAAATAAAGACTATTCATTACCGCCGAGGGACCCGGGGGCCCGATGGACGCCGTCCACCTGCGCTGCGGCGGACCAGCGCGGCGCCCCCGTTCCATTTCCTGTTGGCGTTCATTTAGAGGGGCTGGGGGAGAGGGGGGCAGGCAGAGGGCTAAACGTGTCACCCTCTCGGTACAGAGAGAAACCTGCCGCTCGTTCGAAAAGCAAACCCTAAACTATTTGAGTTCCATGGGCGCAAAGTGAAACTGATTTGGTTTGTGTTGATCATTCAGCCAACTGTCCAGCTCATCCACAATAACAGTAACTAGGTCTTCAAAATATGCAGAAGAGAAAATCCATCGTGGTATAAAGAGCGAGTGAAGTAAGCAAAGTAAGTGGGGCCAAATTTTTCTTTCTATCGTCCAATGTCCTCAGGGGGCTTCACTGTATACAACATGGCTCACCCTCTGTAGCCTTGCCTCGGATGAGAGAAACGTCCCCAAACAAACCCCCTCAATGGGGGATATAAGGTAACGGAAGCCAGGGAGGAACACTCAGTCACCGATTAGAGTCCACGGGAAAATTGGCCGTCCGAGATGGCATTAGGAAATCGAGAGCGATCACTAAGACGGCTCACCAAGCTGTAAAAATCTACAGATATTTGATACCACGCCAAGCTCTGCTGTCGCCGGTGTAATCGTGAGTGATGCTCGGACACAGCGAGGCAAAGCCAAGCGACTCATGCAGCCAATCAGCGTCACCGGCGCTCCGCAATCTCTTCCATCAGGGGTAAAGTGCGTCCCCACGCAAAGGTCAAATTGGACTCGTTCTGTTGGTATAGGCGGCTTGAAGAAGCGTAATAGACAAAGGATAAGAAAGATAGATCCATTAATCATTGTTTTGACTTTGATTGAAATGAATAAAAAGCCCTGGGGGGTCACCGTGAATACAATTTCATACGTGCTAATTCTTAACGTCTGTAGATCAAAGTGTCGCCACTGGGCGACGCAGCAACATTAATTAATTTGGGCTTGATTGTATCGAGATCGTTCCCTACCTGTGAGCTGTAATTTACACATTTCCAACCGAGTTCATGAGCGCCGGCTGAAGCGTAGCGTTGTGTAGCGTAATGCGCGTGCGGCTACTCACCACAGGGCCCTTTGTGTTGGATTTGAATGGCCCTCTGCAGGGCACAGCCCATCGCCCGCATCTCGCAGGGGCTGCCGTAGCTGTGGCCGTCGGAGCCGCACACGGGGTCGGAGGTCTGGGGGCACGCCTCGGGGCACTCGCACACCGGCTCGCCGTTCTTCACCACGCACACCGCCCCGTGATCGCACTCCTTGCCCAGGCAGGGGCTCGGTATGCTGAGATCTGCAGGACGATGGAGAGCAAAGTTAGGGGCATGCGGGGGAGGGGTGGGGGGCACTGATGGGGAGCGGGAGGAATATAAAGTAGAGGTTGGAGAGAGGTCTGGGGCTGGAGAGGGCAAAGGTCAAGGGGAGGTAAGTTAGAGCATAGCTTCACGGGGGGAACGGCAGGTTTGGTGTTAGAGACGGGCGATGTGATGTGGTGTGCAACGCGCTGCTCCGGACACACCTCTGCCTCCTCGGCTCCCTGAGTCATCTCCTCACGCACCCCGAGGCCTCCGCCGGACCCCGAGCGGCGCGAGGACGGCGGATGGAGACGCGGCCCACGAGCGCTATGGAGATGAAACGGCCCTCGAACAATGGTGACGCAGGCTCTTTTTTTTGGGGGGCGAGTAAACGGTTGGATTAATTGACGTTCCCACTGTGCCCCTTCAAAGGCCTCCATTTGCGTTTCAGCGAGAGTGTACTGACACGGAGGAGCGAGGACAACCGGGGGAGGAGAGGGAGGAAATGTAGAGACTGGAGAAGGAAACAGGCGAAGGGAAGAAAGAGCCCTCTGCTTAATAATTCACAAAAGGCAAGCTCCTGGGCAGAGGCAGATATGAAATGTGAACATCACAGAGCTTCAGTCGCTCCCTCTCCCGGTCCACCTCCAGCAGGACCGCATTAAAACGAGCACTGGGGTTGTGCACATACGAGTTTCGGTATTGGGTGGATGTGACCTGACTTGATCAGAAAACTACGCCCGCGAACCATCTTTTGATCCGCCCACCCGTCCCGACTCAATCAATTCCTTTTCGGCTTTATTAGATGAGAATGTTCCGTGGGCTTGTGAGACAGGGTGCTGCTTCAGGTAGGAAGAGCACGCGCTGCGCTACCGCGAGGAAGCCGCGGTGGTTTTTATTTGGGAGGCGGATCGCTCGGCTAAATGTGGTGTGTCTGCAGATTAGTGGAGAAAAGCATCAAATCATTTCTGATGAAAAGCGCCCAAAGAAGTGAATTAGCCCGAAACTTCTTCCTTTCCTCCGTCTACCTTTCATGTTGTGGCTTTGGGGAGGAGGGAGGCGGGGGGGGGGGAGGGGGGCTGCTGTCATGGAAACAGCGCTTTGTAACGACACCACCCTCGGCTCCGTCGTTATTGCGACCATTATGGGATCAGAAGGCATCACAGAGGGGCGACCGGGCTTGATTTGGAGCCCCGTGATTCACTTACCAGCTCCGAGGGGTAAAGCGTCAGCTGACTACACAGAAGGAGCCCGTTGGCTTGTTTTCGCCGGAATTGAGCCGATAGCCGCGAGAAGGATCAATGTGGCCTGAACATCTATCCGACTAAGTCGTTGTTGTCATTCAATCCAGCGTTTTGATGCCAGCAGCAGCTGTTTCAAAGGAGCTTGGAGAAGCCGCATAAGCATGTCAGCTATTTGATGATGCTTAATTCGGTTACGGCTTCGGAAAACAATTGATACCCGTGATCTCTTTACAGTAAGCTTGTTTGTACGACCGTGCCCCCCATAAAGGTTCAAGGACAAGCTCCTAAGACACGACTGCAGCCACCGATAACGCCTCAGCCTCCCAAAGACAGAAAGACAATTCCCCTCCAAAACTATTTCTTCTATCATCCTCGTGTTTGTTTCTGCCCGCCACTGGAAAGGCGAGTGTTGGAAAAACACAAGACAAAACTCCCCCAGTGCAGAAATCTTATGACCCAGATAAAAAGCAGTTAAAAAGCTCTCTCTCCCTCTTAGATACGAGCAGAAGCTTTGAAACGGCAGCTTGTCACAGCGCTTGTGGGACGCCGCTCACTACCCCGCTTTTCAGCTCTTTTTTTGTTTGCCAAACACTGAGATACATCTTCCTCCTGCACGTATCGCTGCGCCTGCCAGCCGGGGTTCACAGAAATAATGATAATCCAAGAAAACGCTTTGTATTTCTTTCTACTGGAAAATTAGCTCGACAGTTGAGTGGGAACGTCTCTGGTGCCAAATACATGAATCAATGAGCGCGGCAGCCGAGACCTGGTGTCAGCGGCGGGGCAGGTGGGCTGTCAGTGGTCCGCCGTGGCAGAGGGAAGTCAGGAGGGACAGTGGAATAAAAACACATGAATAATTCCTTCTGTTCAAGGATTGTGCTCCAGCAGAGTGCGGCCCGGCGGGGTGACACCGGGGGGGGGGGGCTTTGCACCTCGGTCGGCAGCCTCTGCCGCCTTCTAGATCCTTCTAGATTCTTTTTTTAGTAGGCGGGTGTTCACTTCACGTGTGTCAACTCGCTCCGGTCGGCTGCGGTTTTCAAAAACATTGGAAGAACGCGATCGCCGATCCGACGTGGTGACATTGGCTTGCCGCCCCCCCAGCAACGCAGCTTATTTCCGTCTGCGCTCGGCTCATGCATGTGTTAACTAGACCGGCCCTCTCGGGTCCCTCTGCCTGTTTCCGAATGGCTCCCGGTATGATGCGGGGCGGAGTCTGCGCATCGGCGTGAGGCGGGGCAGTGGCCACCTGGCCCCCGTCGCAACGCAGGGCTCCGACGGGACACAAGCCCCGCCCACTGTGTCTCCTCACCTGCAGGGCCTCTGATCCGACTGCCTTTAGCTCGCGCTGAAAACATTCATGTATTCTATTAATCGAGGGAAAAGGAGGTGCAGAGAGAAAGGCTATATTAGCATAGAGCAAAGAGGCTTACCCGCGGGCCGTGTGTGTCTACCACTGAACAACTTATCACAGGCAGGGGATGGGGGGGGTGGGGGGGGGGGGTGAGGGGGGCGGTGTAGGCCTCTTTGTGCATTCAAAAATGGAAACAAGCACAAAAAGCGCGGGTGGGGGGGGGAGACAACAAAGACACGCCGCAATGCCTGATCTCGTGATGCGCATCTGCCAGAGGTGAGATGACGCCTAAACGGCGCCTTGATCAGACCGAGGCGCGCCGAGAGACGCCGCCGGAGGCAAACGTTCACACGCTCGGTGCGTCACCAGACCACGACGGAGGTGAATGAGAGAGCGGTGAAAGTGGGACAGGACCAGCACCGCAGTCGGCCCTAGCATCCTATTGACCCACATATCCTCGCCATGTCCCGCCGGCGAGACGCGTTAAGTGGACCGGCTGTCAAATGGGCTCCATTTGACTTGATTAGGAGGGAAACCAGCGCCGGTTGATCTCAGGCGGAATGTGTGAGTCCCATAAACTGCAGCCGCCAGAGATGCTCATCAAATGAACACGCAGATGATCAAATGTTGGACACACACACACTCCCCCCCCTTCCCCCCCACCCCCCCCCGCCTTCGCAGAGCTCTTTGTCAACGACAAGGTGTCTGCCGCTGAGTGGTGTCGTGTTAACCTCCGGAGGTGACAGGCGACACATTTCAAGTCGCACGCACTTCTGTGAGTTTTTCTGCGCTCACAGTCACGCACACACACACACACACACACACACACACACACAGTTTCTGTCTGCAAATAGCTCATTTGTTCACTGCTAGTTTGCCTCTCACAGTGTGTACGCGCACGTGTGTGTGAGTTTTCTGCGTTTTTTTTTTTCAAAACTCTCCTCGTAACTACCAATTTAGAAACCCTCCATTTCCCATTGTACTAATGCCAGACATGAGGCCGGAACATCAACAGGCTCCTGGGAGGTGTGGTGAGCCACTTCACACTGCTGCTTACGCACTAAATATAGACTTAAAAGGGAGGAAAACAGTCTGGGCAGGAAGTACGCACGGAGCCAACATTAAAAAGTAATATGGAACATTAAACAAACAGCCCGCTGTGGAAAGACCTTTTGAAATGTTTCTGTACAACTTTAGTGGAAGTCCATGTGTTGAAATCTCTTCCTTGTTTTCCCGTTTATGTTGAATTTTATGCTGTTAAATCAGTCGACTCTATCTCACATCTTGTTCCATTAACACACACACACACACACACACACACACACACAGGCGCAGTGGCTGAGCTGCGTCCTTTCCACACAGCATCACAAGGCAGCTTCAAATTTCTCATCATGAAACCGCAGGCGGTACATCCCGAGGCCGAGCAAAAGCGCACCCAGCAGAGTGGATTAAACACAGGTACAATGAGGAGCTGAGGGCCCTCGAGGCGGTTCGATCATTATTGGCGAAGGCACGGCAGAGAGGCGGCCCACCGTCTGTGTCTTTGCTGCCGAATGCATCCGCATGTCACAAAATCCGGGTTGTTGAGCCTCTACGAAGGCCTACCGTCGTTTCCTGTTGCCCCCCCAGTGAAGATAAACTACAAACTGAACAATGTTCCGGTTGGACAAACGCACATAGAAACAAAGAAGTCAGCTGTATTGTAGACAAATAAGCAACAACGAAAGCATCAGGGTGCCGGTGTCGCTCCATTGTTCGGTCCTCTAAATATATAAATGCGACAACACAGACGCTGCGTGCACACTACTCTTCTGTTACCTTGCTGCACATTTGGGATGTTGATTTTGCTTTTTGACCGACTAGGCTGAAATAATGTCAGCAATTTCCGTGTGTGTGTGTATGTGTGTAGTGGCCGGACGCGGTGATGGAAGTGATGGAAACTAACGCAATCATAAAAAACGGAAATAAAGTCCGGAGCACTTTTCTTTATTCAGCGCGTGAGTAAGCGGCCGTGTGACCTCATCTGCTCCTCTGGTGATGTCACACCAGGCGTCACTCCAAGGCTCTCGTCCTGGAAGCCGACTCGGCTTCGCTCTGAGCGAATCGGCCACCGGCTCTCGTGTTCTCGGACTACTCGGAGAGATTTGTGACTCCGCCCTGCGTGCGAGATGATGCCAAGCGGTGACCCTCGATCCCCAAATTGATGAGCTTCAGATATCAATCAAATGTCAAATGTCAAATCTCTGTGGCAGGACTGCAGCCGGGCCTCCATGGAGGCGTGCGGTTTGTTGCATGACCGTTCCTTGTGGTGGCGAGCACAGGATGGGGGGCATGGAAGGGGGGGGGGGGGGGGGGGGCCCTGCACTATAGCGCTGTCACCCACATGAAAGAGATTACGACGCCGGCAAACTGGAGATTCATCCGTTTGACAGCTGCAGGGTGATCGATCAACGCCAGCTTGCCGCGCCGCTCAGCCAATGAGACGAGGGCCGAGATCGTTATTTATCAATTATGAGAATTTATCAAACTCTCCCTTTTTTCCCCCACTCCTCCAAGACGACTGGAGCTTTGTCTGAGGCCTCCAAAGCGCCGCTCGCGTCCTCTGGCGCCGCCGGCGAGCACGAGCACGACGGAGTGCGTCGCGCGCTGTGGATCGATCCCAGACGAGGAGGACACGGGGACACACTTTGCATGCAGCCCTTGTGTGAGTTCTGTGTATCTTAAGTCCTTTGTGCAGCGAGAGGCATTATGTAACGACCAACACAGCAGTGGGACACAAAGGGAGACGGAGACAGGAAGTTCTGACGCGCGCACACAGACGCACGCGCCCGTTTCCTGCGCATCATCCGCCCGACTGAGCCAACGGTCTCTGTGGGCACCTGCGCTTGCCTCTTTGCATGGTTAATTTAAACGGGGGCGGCGTTCTGTTTGGAAAAAAAATCTATGCAAATGTCACAGAAACTGCATTAAAGAAACATACGAGCAGTCAGTGACGGCAGCGATGTGAGGGGGGGGCTTAATGCTGAGGCGCCACTCGCCGGAAATAATGAAACGGGGCGAAACGCACAAGAGCTCTCGCACTGCCGTTTCCCACCACTTAATGCGCGCACAGCTCAGAGGGACAAGCGATGCTAATGAGCGGCGCAGCGCCCTGATGCCGGCGACTGGAGATAACTATTCAGCTCCAACCCCCCCCCCGCCCCGGTGGGGGTCGACGGGGGTTATCGGCGGCACCGGTGAAGACGCGGGAGAAGACGGGGGCGATCAAATCAGAGGCACTTGGGTGAAATCTGCTGTAACGTCAGGCCTTGGAATACAAATGTAGATTGAATACACGCTTTTACTAGTGGATCCAACAAGGAAGTGCACCCGAGTCAAACATGTGGACGAGCCACAAGCATATTTTTCAAAAAAGTATCCATCAGCTGAAAGGGGAATTCTTTCAAAATCATACATTTATACAGGAAGAAACAGTGAGCGTAGAGAACAGCGGCTCACAGAGAGATGCTTATCGATATGCGCTTTTTAATTTGGATTGAAATGCAAATCGACAAATGCGCCGAGTCTCTAGACTCAAAGGCTGATCTCTTATTGAATCTTTTATCTCTCCTCATTCATCTTTTATCGGCATGAAAAAGGGTAAACTATGTTTCAACACATTCAGGCTTATTGGTGTCCTGGATTACATCCTGTGACTCGATTTTTAAGCGGTAAAAAACACACATTTTTTTAAAATATCTGCACGAGGTATCTATGAGATTGCTGAGCGCAGGAAGGCAGTTGATTAGTTTTACTCCCAATTCTCATCCCATTTAAATGTGCATTCATTGAATTCTAATGCTAACTGCCTTTAGATCCTCTCAGGCAACCAGGTAAAAGCTAAACGTTATTTTAAAACTTAATCTAAACCTATGAGGATGAAGCCTGCGCCGTCCAACTCTGACCCTTCGGTGCTCAGGGACGGATTCATTGGCGGTGGATTCATCCTGCAGCTGCGAGCTTTCATGAGCCGACGGAGCGCGGGAGAGTTCGGGAGGCATGCTGCTGCGTGCAGACAGGAAGGAGTCACAGGTGAGCAGAGGCGGTGGCAGGTAGGCAGGGACAGGGACGCAGAGAGCAGGGAGACGGGAAGACATCTCCAACCTCACGGGTCACATCCTTGCAGGAGGGCAAACAGATGGGAAGGACAAGAGACGGGTGTACAAGACCCCCTGCTGTCGGGTTCTTTTTGGAGCGAGGCGGAAGGGCTTCACCCATCACAGTCCACCTGATGAGGTCGCCCGCCGGGTGACCCCACTTTTCCACCTGCCGCCGGCAGACGGCCAGGAAGACGACCAGGTGGACAGAGACAGACAGACAGACAGACTGATTGACGCACTGAAACAAGAAAGAAAGCTTTTTTTTTATAAATATATGTATATATCATATACAAGAAAAAGCAACACACGGGAGACAAAAAGACAGAAGAAAGGGGACGGGGGAGACACACGGAGAACACATGGGAGGACGGAGAGCGGATGGAGGAGGAGAGTGTGTGTGTGAATGGAGGGATGGAGCGTGACGGGCATGAGGAGATGGATGGGAGGTGAAGGCACGTTTTTTTTATGAGCAAGGCACACGGGAGTGCAGTCTGTTCCAGTTACACCCCCCCCTCCCTCCCGTCCCTCCCGCCCCTCCCGTCCCCTCCAGAGAGCATCAACGGGACCATTTCAACACAGACACACATACAGTATCCCTGAAAGACAGAGAAGGACAAACACACATTGAATACACGTTTAAAAGGCAGAGAGACGGGGGGACGGAGAGAGGGGGACAGGTCCCCCCCCCCCCCCCCCCTCGTCCTCCGGATGCACTCACCACAGGGCCCCGGGTGCTTGACGGCGATGAGGAGCCGGCCCAGGCACTCCGCCCCTGCGCCGGGCGCAGTCGTTGGTGTAGGTGCGGCCGTCCTTGCCGCACACGGGCTTGTAGGTGCCGTCGCACTCGATGGGGTCGCAGGAGCAGCGGGCGCTCTGCTGCTCCACCACGCACACGCCGTTGAAGGGGCACGCCGCCTGACAGCGCTCTGGAGGACAAACGGGGAGAGACGGAGCGAGTGGGTGTCCCGCCTCAGGGGTCAGCTGAGCGTAGAGCCCAATCGGCCCTCCGCCGGCTTTGCTTTTCCGCACTGCTGTTCTGCAGGTCTGTGCTCCAATGCGGCAGCCGTCCGCCTAAACACATGTTTATTTGCAGCAGCGCTCCGCTGACACGTTCGTGACAGCGCGACTGACTGACCCCAATAAAGGAAAAGGACCTCAGCATGCATGAAAGACTGAAGCGAAGAGGGGAACGGATTCTCCCTCCTGCCGCGCGGCGCTTTCAGGTCCAACCGCAGGAAAATTAATCCGTTTTCTTTCAGAGGATAATTACATGTTAGGGTGGACAGAGGCCACTTTCAGCGCGTGTAAAAAGCTTTTCTTTCCACGGAGGTGAAACCGTTGGCAGAAATACTCTTTAACAGCTCAACGGAAAATGATTATATGTTGTGTTAATTGAGTGCTTTTACAATAAGTAGTTATTCTAAGAAGAATCTGAGGGACTGCCCACGACTATTTAAAACTGAATACAAATCTATTGAGTCGCATTTAAATAGCGGGAATACGGATAACAAACGTAAGACCAGGCGGGTGAAATTCAGAGCCGAACAGATCAGCCGGCGTCCTGCAGGTATATAAGTCCGGATACAAACAGAACGTCATTTTATTTCAGAGAACACAAGGTGAAAATAAGAGAGTACCTTTGTTTACCTCGGAACACCATTCATGCTTTGTGCGCTGAATTATCTTCACAGAGTAAGTTACTGTTACCAAACCAGAAAATGGCTGAAAATACGAAGACTTCATTAAAATACTGCAGTTTTTGTTCAGGGTCTTTTAATTACGATTTTACTTCCACCGTAACTTTTATGAAGTTTATGACATTTTAACAGCACTGTGATTGGTTGCTAATGTTCTCTTATGATGTAACCTAACAACTGACTGGAGATCCAATCCAACACAATCATTTAAAGTTCCCAACTAACTTTAATGAAACTGAGGAACTCAAACTTAAAATATATTATTTTACGGGTCAAGTTAGACTCATATAAACTATTATATCACATTTTGATTCACTAAGCAGAACTCCACTGTGGAAATTAAGAAAAAAGAACACTAGTAATGCGAAATGGCGAATTTGCCATTGAAGTGAGAAAATCCAATTTGAAGCGTTCCCGCTCTGTTCTGGAGGCGCTCGCTAGGCTTCGAATTTATTTAATTCCTGATCAGGGGGATCCAATTTGTACAGCAATTCGATTCCTTCCTCTCCTTTCTGTAGGAGCCCGTCATGCCACACTTAATTAGGACGCTGCTGTATCTCAGTGCGAGGGCCACGAGGATGTGCAAAGTCGAAATGGCCGCTTTCATTAGTTACCAATTTGCAATTTGCTGAGGGTTATGATTTCACGGATCTCTGTTTCAAATTGAATCATTCTTTCATTTGGAAAAAAAGAAAAAAAAAACAGCAGAAGAAAGAACGGGGGGGGTAAAAAAGGGAAAAGACAAAAAGCCTTCATCCGATTGCTCGCACACCCGCTGACTGACGCGCAAACACGGAGCCGAAGCGTCAGGCGGGACAATCGGATTTCCTCCGATGGCTATCGGATGTGAAGTAGGAGCGGACGGCTCCGTGTTGACTCGGGCTTGAACCCCCTGTTCTAACGGCACAGATAACAGGCTCTTATCGGACTGGAGGATATACAGTGCAGACCCCGGAGAGTTGACCTCCGTGCCACGCACGATGGCAGCTGAGTGTGGCCCTTACCCAGCCGTTTGCACGGCCCCGCGTGGATCTTCCTCAGCTTGACGCCTTTCTGCAATGCCGTTGCCTCCAGGGCGCAGACGCTGCTGTAGGTCTGCCCGTCGCTGGCGCACAGAGGCTCGTTCCCCGGGGGGCACATCTCCGGGGGCCGGAAGACGATGGTCTGGCGGGTGAGAGCCCCCACCCGGCACATCGTGTTCAGGTTGTTTTCGCTCTCTTTGCACGGGTCTGTGGAGACACAGCAGCCTTTCAAGATATATACTTATCACGAGGGGGTCAGAACCCGGTCGGGTTCCGGTTTTTAAATAAACAATGATAAACCTGGGATGTTTTTCTGACCAAAAACGCATCCCAGCATCGGTTGGATTTACCGGACATTTGTTTGTCTGGTAAATCCGGAGGGAATAGGAGAGCGGAGGAGAAAGGAGAAGACAAAAACAAAGAGGAGACACGATTCTGCTTCACTGTTCCTCCACAGACGTCATCAGCTGCTCGGACTGAGACCTCGGATGAGAAAGCGGATGGAGAGACGGTCGGTTTGATTTGCCGCCTGGCACCTCCCTCCTTCCAGGCGCTGAGCGTTCGGTCTGGCACGCTCGGGGCGCATCGCTCCGTGATCATAATGGAATTGGTTTGTTGTGGATGTGTGGGGAGGTTGAGTGAGGGGGGGGGGAACAGAATCTGGAGCTTCATCCTGCCCGCCACGCTTTCAGCATGTGGGAAGACAAAGGATTTATGTCTCACCGTGACGTACAAAATCACTGCCAAGCGGCCGCCGAGTCATTCACAGCACGCTGAGGATGAAACACCTTGTCCCGGACAGGAGGACAGACAGACGAGAGTTTCCTCCGGCAGGATTACAAAGTGGGAACAACAGGAAAGAGGGAGGAAGCGCCCTGGGTGCAAAGACTCGAGGTGGGGGGAGGGGGGGGGGTATCGTAATGCATGCAGTGTCTCTGAGTAACGCAGCGCCTCAGCCGAAAGACCATTACCTCCCATTAAGTGAGAAGAAGTGCTCCTGGGATCCATGCTTTCCTCCAGCAGTCGGGTAGTTCTAAGAGGAACGACCTGTTTGCTGTAAAAACTACCAGCGCAGATAAATCCACTCCATTTTTCTGGCAACCTGAAATAGCCTCTATAAGGTGAAACGGCTGCAGGAAGATTTAGAGGACCATCAGGGTCGACCCGTCAACCCCACCCGTCTCAGCCCTCCCCGGGGATGATGGGGCAAGTAGGGTCACTTTGGTCGACTCAGGCTGTATTTATTCGGCCCAACCTCTGCCCCCCCCCCTGCGGGGCTGAACGTCCATCTCTTTTACCCCACCCCTTTGCTCCGTCTCCTGGAGGCTCAGAGAAGGAGCTTTTTTTTCTGCTCTGCATTCTTTCCCTCATCTGGCTCAAAACCGACAAACACAAAAAACTCAAATGTTGAACGCCTTGGGAGTAAACAACTATCGCCGGATGATAACGAGGACGAGCCACAAAGAAAAAAAAAAAAAGAGAAAGCCTGGGCCTGATGAAAACAACCGCTCTGAAGACCCACTTAGAGAAAACAACAATGGCACGGCAGGAGTACCTGTGTGAGGCGAGGCAACAGGAATGAGAGATGAGAATTAGCAGAGGCGCGCCGTGAGCAACTCCAAACAACAAACGCCAGCGGTAGTAAACCGAGCGAAGGGAAGAAAGCAAAAGAGAGCAGAGGAGAAGGAAACTCACCGCAGGACCCCGGGTACTGCACCCGTATGTTCTTCTGGTTCTTGCAGGCGTGCCGGTGGAGCAGGCACTCGTTGCGGTAGTCCTCTCCGTCGCTGCCGCACACCGTCTGCTCGCGCTTGCCCTCGCAGCTCAGGGGGCACATGCATTTCGCCGACAGGCCGTCCGACGACTGGATGCAGGTGCTGCCGTAGCTGCAGGCCACGTCGGTGCAGGGGTCCTTGAGAGCTGCAGGGGGGTTGGGGGGGGGGCATGAAAACAAGGTTTGGTCAAAAAGCAGAGGGGTTACCTCATTGACGAACGCACTACTGCACACCTCGGATGACAGGCCTGTTCTTATTTAATTGGCTTCTGGGGACCTTTTATGGAAGCGTGGCACAGTTATTCCGGCATTTGAAGAGCCGGTCGACCCCCCCGGGTGAGGAACGCGCTGCCACAGCTGTCTCGTGGCACAAACAGGTTGCATTTCATTTCGCGGCGCGGCACCAATTGATTTCCGGAGCAGAGCGCTCGCAACCTGTTCTCCATTGAGATGCTCAAGCCTGCTTTAATCGACTGGGCTTAAAAGCGACCCGGTGAATATTTACCTTTCCACAAATGACACCGGGAGGAAGACAGGGAGAGAGAGAGAGAGCCGGGGAGGGGGTTGGGAGAGTTATTCCTCCCCCTGAGGACTTTGTTTTCCACTCTAATTAAACAGCGTGCCACTGCGATGGTTGGACAGGCAGCAACTCAGTCTGTGTTCGGGGAGGGGGGAGAGGGGGGGTGTTTCCACGTGCACGACAAACGAAGGCGGCCGCGAGATTAGAATCGCTGTCATCCGGCTGCACGATGCATATTTATGAGCGTCGCGGGCAAACGCGCTCTCCTGCGGGAGCGTCGGCGGCCTTCTCATTTCCTAAGCTCGCCACTTTTAGTATAAATATTTACCCGTGTCTGATATCATCCCCTCTTTTGTCACAGCCGCCATGAACGGATTTAATTTAAGTAGGGAGTGCGTCTTTATGCCGAATGGTGAATTCCTCGCTGCGCGGTTCGTTTCGGCCCGGCGCCGGATTGCAGAGATGTATTATGGATGTGTGAGGAGACAGGAGCGCCGCGAGGAGTCCTCTTGATCAAAGGATACACCCCCCCTCCCCCCATCCCCACCGCCCACGCACTTTTCCCGCTCCCCACCGTCAAGTCTTTTTGAGGTTTGGTTCGGGAGACTCGTTAGCGAAGACTTTTCATATTGCCGCTGTGTTGCAGCGGGAACTGACTCCAGACCCAATTTATGACAAAGACACTTCAGAATAAAACGTACAAATTAAAGCTCTAGCCAAGGCGGCGTGGTGGGAAACGTCTCTCTGAAATCATAAGCCATTGTGAGCCACGGACGCTGGTTTAATGGCGGCTTAATGTGACACGAGACCCTCTAATTTCAGCCAAATCACATGAACAATGCGGAACTGATGGCCGCGTGGGACACGGCGCTGCGCAATGACCTTGTTGTACCGGCCGGAGCAGGTGAAAGGTCGTCTGAAATCAGCAAATACAGTTACAAACCCGACAGACTCCTTAACATCTAGAAAAGCACTTTTTGGACGTGACCTTTTGGTCTTCTTTTCTGAGCTGCTGCCGTTTGCCGTAAAATGGCGGGTTGTTAAGGTGTGAGGGAGGAGGAAGAGGAGGGAGGAGGAACTGGAGGGAGGAGCCCGGCGATCCCCTTCACCTGCAGAGGGGGCAGGGTGGGTGCATCGTCCTTGCACCTCTTGATCTCATTAAATATAAGCCTCCTCTCTCTGGCCGAGGGGTGGGGGGCAACGGGGAGGAGAACAGGAGCCGTGGTAGAATCAGACGGAGGGGTGGGGGCTCCTGATCTGAATGCTAACGGGGGGCCGGTTGGGAGACGAAGCGCGGCCTGGTTGGAGCGTCAGCGCTCTTCTCAGACCTCAGACAAGCAGGCAAATTGCCGGGGCGAATGTGATCGGTGTAACAAGCCCCCGAAGAAGAGAAAAAAAGGAAAAGAAAAAAGAAACGTGCTTATATATATATATTATATTCTCACTGATATTTCCTCATTATTATAATGTGAAAGGTGCCACAATAAAAGGGAGCGAGAGTCGACAAAGTCAGCAGCGCTGGCTTCGCAAAATTAGATCCTCGCTGCCAATTAGGTCCGTGTCCCTCTCTGGAGTGAAGCTCAGCGAGCTTTAGACGGCAAAGATAATGAGGGATTGGTTAAAATATGAAATAAAAAGGAAGATACGGATACACAGAAATAAAGATGCAACGTGACACTGAAGCAATTCCAGCGCAAACAACACCTCAAGCATGCGATGAGGGATGGACGGACTCCAATTCACGTATATCACGTAATACATCTGCGTGTTCGCTCACGCCGACCCATTTACATGCGACTGGCTCTCGAGAATCTGCTGCTGCGAGGAGAGATGGGCGACGTCTGCCTGTAAGTTAGGCCGAGGGGGGGGGGTTGGTTGGAAGGTGGGGGATTACGGTGATCATCCCTCCCCCGGGCGTACCAGCAGACAGCCCAGGCAGGTGGGGGAGCTCTGCTTCCCTCTGATCCACTGTGCTGCCGGCGCCGCGGCGGCTCTACCTGACACCCCGCCGCCACGGCACGGCCGCCGCCCAGATATGTGCGTGTGTGTGCGTGTGCAGATTGTGTCAGCACACATATATGCCTAAGCACGTTTGCAGGCAGCCGTGGAGTGCAGATAAGTGTGCAACTGATGCGTGTGCATCTGTGAGTGCATGCACATGTGCGTGTGTGTGTGTGTGTGTGTGTGTGTTAGCTTCCCGTTGTGCTGGTAGTGATAAGGGTGGGAGCAAAGCTTTAGAGCTAATCAAACGCAATGATGCGATGTGGGGGCCCTGTGTTCTAATCAAGAACCCCCCCCTCACGCCGCCCGCCATCTCCCATCAGAGAGAGGAAAGTAGCACGAGGAGGCAGAGTTATGCTGCTAGAGAGAATCAACATCCAGACATCAAAGTGAGCGGAATAATTTAAACATCAGTGAAAACAGCAGTACGCTCATTTGCCTTTTGGTGTAGAAGTGATGCGTCTCCCTGTTCCTGTCCTTTCTATGCTAAGCTAGGCTTAACACCTGACTCCATCCTCCGAGCTCCGCTAATCAGTGTTTACCAGGCGTGACAGCGATGCTCGTATTGTTTTCAGCGTGTGTGTGTGTGTGTGTGTGTGTGTGTGTCCTCAGAGCACGACGGGGCCCTGAGTCACATCCTGTATCAGGGAACTTATGCAGAAGAGGTTTAAAGTACTGGTGTTAAAATGTCTCGTGTGTAAGAAGCAGTCACTAATCATCATACAGGTGTGTGGTCCAGATCACATGGCTAAGTCAAACACACACACGCATGCATTACAATACGTATGCTACACAAGATATCCAACTGATTAAATAATGAATACAATTAAAAGCATGCCGAACAGAGCATTGAACAGCAGGCCTGCTTTTTAATGAACTTTATTACAACGGCCGTATGCACAAACAGCTCAACTTAAACCTAAATGAAGCTATCAAAGCTGCTGAAGTGCGTTGTTTAATGTGTGCTTTGTATTTACTATGTTATTGCATTGTCTTCTGTGTGTGTGTGTGATATCTGTGGGAAGTAGACGTGGTATATGCAGTATGCACTTAATGAAAATCTGAGTAAATATGGGGATGGGGGTACAAGGGGACAACCAAGTGAGGAAAGGCTTAGAGTTGAGGGAAGTGTGCAGAAGCGAGATAAGGGAGGAGGGTCAGAAAGGGAGCAGGAGAAAGGCTGCAAGGAACGGTCAGAGGAAATAAACAAGATTAACGGACGAGATCAATGCAGACCAAGATCCAAGAATCTCAATATGGATGAGAATGGGCAGGCAGATATCTAAACCAAGCGATGAGGAGCAGGAGGCCAAAGGATTAACAGTCCTGCACACCTCTCCGACACACACACACACCCTTCACTTTCTCTTCTGCGGGGGCCAATGGCTTGAAGATGATTCCGTGTGTTTGATGTAGTTCTTCAAAGAGCTCCATTGAGCTGCAGACGTTGCGCTCTTTGACGCGCTTTGCTGTTTTACCCTTGAGAGTGGAAAATGAACCACAACGGGGGAAAAAAAAAGAAGCTCTCATCATAAACCGGTGGCCACACTCACGGCAAAGTAGTGTTGTGTGAGCTGGGGAGAGTGCGGGATGCGGGCAAAGCAGAAGGTTCAAAAAGAAAAAAAAAACTTAAGGGGACAAAGAACGCTGACATTCAGTTCTGCACTTTCTGATAAACGTTGAAGTGAAATCTAAACGACAGATGATAACGCACTCAAACGTCGCGATGCTCTAAGGGTTCGTGATTCCAAAACAGACCGTTTTTAACAGCGGCTGTCATTTCGCCGCGGCGGATCTCTCGCGCTTTTAAAAGGTGCAGCGAAGCGCAGGTGGGGCGCAGCAAATTCGCAATGCCTTCACAGGGTTCCATTTATTCTGCTGAGTGACAGCGAGAAGGCAGGACGGGATTAAGTTGTCTGGATGTGGCATTTATGACAAACACAGATAGAGACGAGCAGCTGTTTGCAGGTGCGGAGGGGACACTTAAGTTAAGCATCAGCGAGTATTGGAACACGCGCCTTGTGAATATCACTTGTGTTCTAAATAAAACTGTATCCATAAAAACACAATGGGACCGTCAATCTATTCTTGCCCCTCACAGTTGGGATGAGACTGAGGCCAGAAGGCTTTTCCTGTCTGTTTGTGATATTGGGCTACAAAATAAAGGCAATTCCTCTACTTGTTTGTTGAAATGTAAAATAATGTGTGTGTGTGTGTGTGTGTGTGTGTGTGTGTGTGCATATATAATCAGTCCAGGACTCTGACCTGTAACCAAGTCCTCTCAATACAGTGAAAGATAAGTAGACACAAGCTAATGGACCGACTATTTAATTTCGCTAACATGTACTTTTCTCTATTTGGTTTTCCCTTGCAAATAGAAACCCGGCAGTGGAGGCAGGACTCTCAGCTAATTGCCATAGCAACGCCACCCAAAATACTGTAGTGACATCATCGTCACTAATGCGGAGAAACGTCTGCACTCCGTTGGCTATTTCAGCAGCCATCTTCACAACAAAGCTAAAACATGGAGGCTTTCTAAAGGATGTCTTGGATCGGACAAGTAACGACTTTACAAGCTTATTTAACGGAGCAAAATGTGGCGAGTGCAGTCAGAGCTGCTATTAA